GATTGTAAACTTGCCGCAAACAGCACATACAACGTCAATTTTTTATTGTCTATTTATCAAATTAGTTGCGGCTGGTTTATAATTGATCATATGGCTTTACTGGAAGTATATAGTAATAATTATTTGGATCAGCGCCATCTAGCGTCGCGGATTTTTGAACTAAAAAGTGGCCCTAAACTTTTCAACCAGAGCTTTAGCGCTTAGAGCTACTTAATCTATTATAAACCAGCCGCAAACTTATTTTGAGGCTATAAAATAAAGAAATAACAATATATGTGTTTTTGGCGGCAGGTTAACAATTTATCTCATACTCGAAAATTTATCTTCAAAAGTATAAATACATAGGAGGTTGATTTTTGGTAAAAAATAGATTGTTAATTTGCCGCCAAAAACACACGTATGATTATTTTTTCATTTTATAGCCTCAAAATAAGTTTGCGGCTGGTTTATAATAGACTAAGTAGCTCTAAGCGATAAAGCTCTGGTTGAAAAGTTTAGGGCCACTTTTTAGTTCAGAAATCCGCAACGCTAGATGGCGCTGATCCAAATAATTATCACTATATACTTTTAGTAAAGCCTTATAATCAGTTATAAACCAGCCGCAACTAATTTGATAGATAGACTATAATAAGTTGACATTTTTTTTGTGGTTTGAGGCAAATTTAAAATCTATCTTTGATTAGAAAATTTACCTACAAAAGTGCAGATATCCTATATATAAATATACTAATATGATTTGATAAGTTTGATCATACCAACATACCATCTACTTACCATCTAAGCTTGGTGTGCCTAACTTCTTACCGACAGTTAACATTGTCAGTTTCTGTGTTGTTAACGAGTTTTTTGCAGTGCTGGGGTAGGGAGGAGGAAGCAGAAAACATACCTTTCACTAGACACGCACGACTGTATATACGAGAACGAGAGTAGTCGCGAAGCGCATATCTATCGCACTGTTTGACGTAACCTTCAACGGAAATCGGCATCTGCGTAAGTCTCAACTTCTTGATTCTTAACAAAAGTACGACACTTCTTTAATTACGTTTGCTTCCTTAGCTTTGTTAGATTCAAACCTTAAGCCTGTCATTCTCATCTCACCCCAAACTTTCATCACGATCCCTTGAAGATCCACACGTGTAAACATTTGCTCGATCTGATTTCGCAGGTATTTTCTCTACAAACCGTCCTCTAGAAGGAACATTCCAACTTTCGTGACCTTAGATCCCACCGAGACTAATCAATCCTGGAGTCGCGGCCGTCACGAGCGGAAAGAAGAAGCCGTAGAGCGGCTAGGATGCCTCGTGGTGGTGCAGATCGGGGTAGAGGCAACAGGCCGTCAACGCCACCTCCGCGCCAAGACGGTCACGCCGGCGATGGTGAAAGAGCTTCAGGCGGGGGTGGTGATGCCGCAGACTACAGAAGGAGGCCCCCTAAAAATTTCAGGAACTACAACAGGTCCGGTGGAGGTCGAGGCTCCCGTTTCTATGGCAAAAGTCGTGAGTATTTTCATTTTCTATCTTACGATTCTCCTTTCTTGTTTCGCGTTTCGACTCGCGTTCTTAGAATTTCGCGCCAAAAATGTGTTGAAATAATGAATTTCTTTGAATAATGAAATATTTACAAGTATTTCGTGACGACGATATTTGCGTATTTTCTCTGTGCTCTCTTATGTTTTGTAAATATACCTAAATACATGGACGTCATGCATTCGTCAATAATCTGTGACCGAAAAAGACGGTAAAGGTCATAATTGTTTATCCTTTTACCTTTAAAGGAAAGCGGGCGCGCACGAGTAGCGTTTAAAACTTGAAACCAAGTGTTTGGGTTCGTATACTTACTCTCTTGTAATTTTGTTTACTTTCTTTTCGAAACACCCTTTTGTCTCGAGTAAGTAGTGGACGCTGCGTATACGCATTTTAGAAGTAAAAGTTTCGGTTTATGTTATAAGAAAACATAGTCTTCGACTTTTTTTAACCGTTACAATTTTTAAAACTAAATGATTGTTTTTAAAATCGTTTAAAAAACAAAATAATGTTATATAGAGAATCCAACTATACTGTAGTACTTATATTTACGTAACATGATTATTGGTGTCCACCACATTAGAGTTATTTTTAAAAACTTTTTCAAGCAAATTACTTACAATTATGCTTGTACTAGTATTATGTTTTGAGAAAGAAAACAATAATCAGTTAAAAAATATGATTGGCTGAGGTTCATAGGCTGAAGTATATATAATCATTAGTGATTTTTTGTCAGGTAATTATAACAACGAAAATGACAGAAGAAATTTCAAAAAGCCCAAGTTCGATGTTGGAGAACGGTTAAAAGAAGTTGATCTTGGCATCACAGAATACGTTGGAGACACTGAAGGATTCACTGGTACAATAAAAGAAAGGTACTCCGATTTTGCGGTACATGAAATTAATATGAAAGGAGAAGTTGCCAAGCTGACCGATCAAAGAATTCCTGAAGATCCAGAAGATAGTATTGACATCGAGGATTTGAAAAAAAAAATTCCGCAAGATGTATGGGAAAAAGTTGCAAAAATCGCCGAGTGTAGTGATGTTGAAATTGATGTTACTGATATGGACAGAGAGCAAAGAAAATGCATACATCAGTTGGTTAAAAAGATGACCAGAGTTTACAGCGAAACCAAAGATGTAGGTGACAAGAAGCTGATGGTATTTACCAAAGAATATTCAAGTAAGTCTTGTAAAAATAAAATTGTAAACCAATCACGATTTCTACTATAATTTTTTTACGTGATAAATTTTCTTCTAGAGAACACACGTGATAATAGAAAAGATTGGTCAGCTAGGGGTGGAGATTACTGTCATTTCATTTTATACAAATCTAATATGGATACAATGGATGCATTAAACCAAATATCCGGTTCATTGGGTCTGAAGTCCAACATCTTTAGTTATGCAGGAACTAAAGACAGAAGAGCCATAACCACCCAGTGGATTAGTGTAAAAAAAATGAATCCCCAAAAAATCCTAAGGGCTGCAAAGAATATCAGAGGAGCATTTGTTGGAAACTTTAAATTCGAAAAAGAATCTCTGAAGTTGGGAAAACTCTATGGAAACAAATTCACCATTGCTCTTAGAAATGTCACTGCATCCAACGATGTCATTGATAAAGGTATGATTTCATTGCGAGATAAGGGATTCATTAACTACTACGGCTTGCAACGATTTGGAGCCATTGCAGCCATACCAACTTACGCAATTGGAAGAGCTCTTTTGCAAGGTAGGTAATGTTTCATTGATGTAAATGAATCGTGAGTTAACAATTTGTAGTTCAAAAAATTGACAATGAAGTAACGTTAACAATTTTATTAAGGTAACTGGGCAGAAGCAGTAGATTTGATTCTCAAGCCAAGGGAAGGTGAGCAAGACCTTCAACTCGCTGAAGCTCGAGAGGTATACAGTAAGACAAAGGACGCTCGCCAAGCACATGATAAAATTGGTCGCACTGATAAGATCGAAGCTAAGCTTCTACAGGGACTTAACATTCGAGGACAAACTAACTTTCATGGAGCACTGGACGAAATTCCTAGGAACACACTATTAATGTACATTCATGCATACCAAAGTAAGGTATGGAACGATATTGTGACCCGTCGTATCAAAGAATTCGGACTGAAGCCCATTGTTGGTGATTTGGTGTACGCGAATCCTGAGGCAAAAGATGAATTCGTTCTTGTTGATACTGTTCACCATGAGGTTGAAGAGAATAAAAATGATGCCTCTGAAAGTAAAGCTACCAAGACTGTTGAAACTAAAGAAAAAAAGACTGATGCACCTCTAGAGGATTCTACCAATGCAGGCAAAACGAATACTGCAGAAAGGGAAAAAATGGATGAAAAAATAGAGGACGACAAGAGCAGCGTGAATAGTGACGACGATCGACCACCACCTGAAGTCAAGATATTGACGGAACAAGACTTGTCAAACTATACTGTGTTTGATATAGTAATGCCGCAACCTGGATGGAAAGTTGTTTATCCGCCCTATGCAAAATCTTGGTTCGATGAGCAACTTCAGAAGGATTGTCTTACTCCCGAGTTGAAACAAAAGAACAAGTGGGTATCTAAAAATTATCAAAGTATTAAGCATCCATGTATAATACGTTAACTAATTTTTTTTTTTTTTTTTTTTTTTTAGAAAATATTCACTCGGTGGATCGTATAGAAAAATTCTGGAAGTACCAAAATACTTGAGCTGGAAAATTATACGATACAAAGATCAAAGAGCTGATTTGATTCTATCGGACATGGATGAGCTGAGGGATATGGAACCAATCAAAGATGAACCAGGTATGTACAATGTGGCAAAAACAATTGTTTTGCCTAACGCTTGCATTATCATGACTAATGAAAATTTGATTTTTTAATTCTTTAATTTTCATGTCAGAGGGACAGTTCAAAGCATTAATTGTCGAAATGTCTTTGAAATCTTCAACTTACGCTACTATGGCATTGCGTGAAGTTTTAAAGTGCGACACGTCCTCGCAAACTCACGCAGCTCAGTCTGCTGCCTTCTATAAAGCTCACGAGAAGCAGGAAGACAAGAACAAAGAACCTAACCAGCAAACCCAGCAGAGTACTGACACATCTGAAGCTGAAAGTATCCCTCACGTTGAGAATCTCCAATTGAATGATGGCAGTAGTGATCAGCCAAACCAGCCCGAAGATGAGACTAGCGACAATAAATCTAACTCTTCTACAAAGACTTTGCTTGTCGACTCTGAAGAAGAAGCGTGTCGTATATTAGAGTCCAACAATACGGCCATGAAAAATTCATGTGAAGACTCTAGTGGTGAAGATGAGTTAGCAAAGTCCGTTTTGGTCGAGCCCAACCCAATGGGAAATTCTACAATTGATGAGAAGTCAGCTAATACTTCTGTGTTGGCTGAACCTCAGAAACATGAGACTGATCCCACCAATGATTCTGGCATTGACGCCAATGTTTCAATTCAAACATAATGTTCCAAATTTTTTATATACTTATATTACATTCTAATTCTTTTTCTTGTCTTGTTTAAAAACTATGAAGATCAGCTTATTTTAAACTTTAAACTTGAACTTTGTTATGCAATTAAGATTATCTTGATATTAATTTCAAAGTCGTGTTATGTTTCATAAGTTTATGATAAAAATATAATTTTTTTTTCTTAATTTTATAAAACGCAAAGTGTATTAATCGTTAAGTACAAGTAAATATAGTTTTTGAATAAATTACTATTTTGGTAAATTTTGGGCGTACATATTATTTCGTTGCAATAGACAAGGGAATGATCTTTAAATTCTTGGTACATTAGTTGGGTAAGCGGAAGAGTAATTGTTGTGAGGTTTCGATCTGTAGTTCTTATTCACTGCCAACATAAAATTGATTCCTACTATAGACACACGTGTGATCTCAAATTAGCTATTGAAGTGAATTTTTTCTTGCAAGTATTGCACTGTTTCGAACACAAACCTATTTGATAACAAATTTTTAGCGTCATATCATCAAGGGGTACAATACACAATTGTTACAAATATATCTAATGTTTACCACTGTAGAGCTTGGTGTGCTGGTGTAAAATACGCTTTTTACAAAAGCCTCTGTGACAAGTGGGACACCTCATGGGCCAGTTTCCTGTGTGAAAATAGCTGTGCGCCTTTAAATCGCCCGGGGTCGGGAAAGATCGTTCACACTCCAAACACTTGTGAGGTTTTACCTTAGTTTTTACAAAAACAATTTCATGGTGACTTAGCCAAAACTTAAAATTCCATTTTCAAATTATGCAAAAACAATACATTGAATCACGTAATTGTTGTGATCATTACCTTGTAGTGCGTCATCCTGTGGTAGTACAAGTTTGAGGAGGCTGTAAAGCGCTTACCGCATATTGGACACATGTGCGGTCGCTCGCCCGTGTGTATTCTTGCGTGCGTATTTAGCGAACTCGAGGTGCTAAACATTTTTCCGCAAACCGTACAACCATGCGACTTTTCTCCTTTTGATAGTTTCAATTATGTTTTATTTTCCTCTATGACTTTTACAAACTTTATTCCGTGTAGTATACGTACCTGTATGCGTTCTGAGGTGCCTTTTTAATAAGGAAGGCCTGTCGAAGCTTTTTCCGCAGGTCTGACACGGCAAACGTCGCCGAAGCTTTACACTCTCTGGTGTTTCTGATTCATGTTCCTTTCGGCAGCTCAAATCCAAAGGTTTTTCCTGTTCTGTTTCGTTGGTAAAAATTTAAATTAACTGTTATTGCGACAGAAAACTATTTTTCATTACTTTTCTACATTTGATATTCTAATTTTTAGGCACAACTCGATGAGAGTGTTTTACAGTATTATGCTTGCCAAAGAAAAAAAAATATGATACGTGAACCATTGTTTTTCGTGTAGAACGATTTTTAATTTAACTAAAATGGCACGTAATCAAATATTACAACTAATTTAAGTCATTTTAATTCTATGAAACTTGAATCAAGTAGATTCCTAAATTTCATTCTGAAACGTAATCATTAGCAATCTGAGTGGTTTCATCAAAGGGTGAAGAAATTTCTAACCATTTTGCAACTTCATTTGAATGGAAAGAAAAAATGTATTTAATGGCCATATTGGCTAAAATCGGTTTTTTAAAGTTTATATATATTAACTTTATACATATATTTACTTTGGATTTTATCATTCTGGTACAAAGAGCTCAGTGTAAGAAATAATACGTGAAGTTATATGTAGTAATTACAGTAATCACTTCTAAATACTGCCATACGGTCGATTTTATTAAACCATGTAAGAATATCTATACTTTTGTAGGTAAAATTTCTAATAAAAGATAGATTGTAAACTTGCCGCAAACAGCACAAACAACGTCAATTTTTTATTGTCTATTTATCAAATTAGTTGCGGCTGGTTTATAATTGATCATATAGCTCTACTGTAAGTAGTAATAATTTTTTGGATCAGCGCCATCTAGCGTCGCGGATTTTTGAACTAAAAAGTGGCCCTAAACTTTTCAACCAGAGCTTTAGCGCTTAGAGCTACTTAACCTATTATAAACCAGCCGCAAACTTATTTTAAGGCTGTAAAATAAAAAAATAACGATACATGTGTTTTTGGCGGCAGGTTAACAATTTATCTCATACTCGAAAATTTATCTTCAAAAGTATAAATACATAGGAGGTCGATTTTTTGATAAAAAATAGATTGTTAATTTGCCGCCAAAAACACACGTATGATTATTTTTTCATTTTATAGCCTAAAAATAAGTTTGCGGCTGGTTTATAATAGACTAAGTAGCTCTAAGCGATAAAGCTCTGGTTGAAAAGTTTAGGGCCACTTTTTAGTTCAAAAATCCGCGACGCTAGATGGCGCTGATCCAAATAATTATTACTATATACTTCCAGTAAAGCCTTATAATTAATAATAAACCAGCCGCAACTAATTTGATAGATAGACAATAATAAGTTGACATTTTTTGTGCTGTTTGCGGCAAGTTTACAATCTATCTTTAATCAGAAAATTTACCTCCAAAAGTGTAGATTATCAATTGTTATGATGCATCTTAATGATTTCACAAAACCATCATGTATACTACTAAAACTGTAGAAACATAAAAGACAATCCAAAGAAGATCATTATTCATGTACCTAGTCAGTACCTTTTTATCAAAGAACTTTAATAACTGAAAATATCGAAAAAATCGGTACTCAGGTAATAAATAATTACAACGATGAACAAAAAATGATATAAAATCATGAAACCAATCAATCGAGCAATAAAAACATGAAGTACTTTAAAAACAAGGAGTCAAACCTTTTATGACCTTAATTTTTATGTACTTTATGAATTATTAATGGATTTTAAAAGCTCTTTGATTTCGTTATTAAACGTTTTTTTGTTCATTTTTTTCATTAAAATCAATGCTCTCATTTATGCTTGTATCTAAAAGCTTCAGTGAATAACCGAGAAATTATGTTGTGCTTAAAAAAGTTGACAGCTAGTAGTTTTGAGTGAACACAATTTTTTGTTTGTATTGGGGCTCTCCAAACTCTAAGTAATTCTAAGTTGACACCAAACTATCAGTTTTACCGCTATTCTAGTACTGATTTTAAAATCATTGTAACATTTGATTAAAAGTTCCTAATCGAATAGAATTTAATTTCAATCGAAACTACTCACTCTAAGCCCTCATTTAAACCCAATCAAGGCATAATATCTAGAAAACTTTTCTTATTAAAATCCGTTTTTCTTTTTCTGAAACACAAGTTATCCCTGTCAATAAATGTATGATCAACCGCAGATGTTACACAATTGAAATAAACAACCAAGAACTTGCACGATCTTTCACATGTATACATGTTATACAGCACAATGTATATACTTACCAGACATGCTAGTCGGGTGAAAAACTGATGGTCTCTTAATCTACACGATACTTTTAAACGCACCCGCGAATCGAATCACATTGAGGATTGGAAATTAGAGGGAGAGTCTGATGACTGTAGAGGATTGACTTTGATATTACGCGGCGCGCATGTCGAGGGCGGCGTCGTAGGCGGAGTTCTTTCCAGCCCCTCGTGATTATTCGTACCCAGCTTGACATCTGACGTCTTTTTTCTCTTTTTTTTTTTTATTTTTTTTTTTAAATCGTTTATTTTTCTCCCTCCATATCGATCATATGTGGTTGAAAATCGCGAAAGCTGTATAGTTTACTTTCTACTTGCATTATGCCTGTAAGTGTTGGCAAGATTTTTCATTTGTTTATCTTACAAATTTAGAATTTTCCATTCAAGGGTAAAGCTTTTCCCCACCCAATTTCATGAGATTCTTAGTACTTAAGCTTGAATTTTATTTTAAAAGTATTTATACGAATCCTTATGGTACCTTCAGTAAAATAATATTTAGTAAATCCAGAAGTACGTAAATTTTTTTGTCAAACACATGATTTTCGTATTAAAATTCCTAAAGTATTACGATTAATTTGTTGCAACATTAAATATTGTATAATATGTTAAATGTTTTATTTACAAACGATTCCTTCGATAAGAAAATTGTAAGTGCTTCTTTGTTGTAAACGAGCCAGAAAATGTGAAGTAATGTAGTCACCTGAAACCCGTTTGCAATATTATCAAATTTTATCTAACATTTGAGAAAAATATAACAAATTGCGATAAAAATTAACATTTGCCCTCACCGTGAAATTAAAAGCGTGAAATACGCTGCAATTGTAAAGGATTTGATAGCAACAACTGTTTCTATGTAAACTCAGAGTCATTCACGAATAATTGTAGCATAAGGTACATCAGTAAGCATTTGTCGGGTATTTCGCAGGACACACCATCGTATTGAAGTGACGCGGCGATATTTGTAAACGAGGGGTGGGATGTATTGTTAACAGAGGCATAAGTACGCGTATTTTTCTCGGCCAACATGAAAATTACTGCAAACGTGTATTAACTAAAAAGTTTTCAATGAAAAAAAGTACGTAACTTTACAAACAACCTTTAGGTGGTTAAACATCACAATTTTGACGATAATTCACGATCATCGCATACATACGTATACAGGATGTACTCTAAAGACTCCATCGTTACTGTTTATTTTTCCAGATATACCATTCTAAAAAAAAGTTACTTGCTCGTTTATCAGCGGTTGAGGCAAAACTCGTACACATAATAAACGCCAGGATGCATTGGGTAGGTATCCCCCGCAGAGCTACCCGCCGCCAACTCATTTGTCACCTGTGCAGGGGGCAAAACGCTGGTCGGGTATAATCAAACTCTATTGGTTTCTACCATGATGGTGGCGCTTCTCATGTATACGCTTCGAGGCGCGAGAGCGAGGCCGAAGTTTATTGTTGGCTGCAATACAATCGCAGTATCATCGCCGATCAATTTGTAAACGGTAACCCAACACAACGAAAAAATATACATCGCTTAATGCTCGGATTTTGTAATAAGCGCACGTATGTATAGCTTTCCTCTACCTGCGTGGCATTGATAGAGTGATATGCTAACGTATATCACCAACTGATATTGTGTACACTTCGACGTAGAAAATGTTTAAAACTAATGAGGAACTAACAAAATTTACATGAAAAATAAAAAATATGTGTGTACGTATGTGTACATATATATGGACATATACACATGTACTCGTGTTACACACGTCTAGTTATTCTAAATCGATTGCATGAAGATTTCTGTAGCTGCACTGAGAGAAAAAAGTAATAAAAATTATAGGAAAATTCCAGCAAAAATTACCATTACGCAGAGTAAATCGGATGCAAGGTAGCAAGAAAGGAATAAAATTGTTAGTTTTAATAGTAAATTGTTTTAAGAGTTAAAATTATAGTTTGAATAGAAAAAATCATGGCTAGAATAATAGAAATTACCATGCTGGAACAGTAAACTTTAAAAGGATCTATAAATTTTACTACTCAAAAAACCATTGTTTCACTTTTCAAACTATAATTTTAACAGTCAAAACAACAATTTTTACTGTTAAAAATAATAACTTTTTCCTTTTTTGCCAACTTGCATTCGAACTACTGACCTTAATGGTAATTTTTGCTGGAATTTCTCTATAATTATTTTTTTTTTTTTTCTCAGTGTACACTAAAATTCAAGATACAAGTCTTCCAGTGTAAACTAGATTTTAAGTCGTTAAATCGTCAACGAGGCTATATAGTTGTGGGTGTCTCATTTATCAAAATAATTCACTGATACCTATATCGACCGCTACATAATGCGTGAACGATTTGGCTATTTGTTCCGATCCTCAGTTCGACTGTGACTGCGTGGCATACGTTAGTTAAAACGTCGCAACGGGTGAACGATAGCACAGAGCAATGATCAGCCCCCGAGGGTGTAAGGGCGTTATTTCGCCAATGAACTGGAAATTGTTAATCCTTCTCATACAAATACTCTCAGGCAAGTACATTTTTACTAATTTATTTCCTTACTCAACAGATATAAATGTCTAGCGATCACTTTTAATGAGCTACCAATTTTCACTACTGCGTGGGGTGGAATAAAAATTGGTGAGAATAGTAGTTTTCCTACGAGTTTAAAAAGTCTCTGTTTGCGAACCGAGACGTTTGCGGCCCGAGCCGAAGGCGAGGTCCGTAACGAGGTTCGTAAAGGAGACTTTTCGAACGAGTTCCGGAAAACTGCTTTTTCGCCCGAGGAAGTACCAGCCTCCCAAAACCACCCGAGGGCGGAAAAAGAGTTTTTCCGCTGTACGTTTATTTTTTTTTGGCGAATCTACCCATGAATTTTCCCTGAAGTAAACTCTTGGATGTGTTAAAAAGAGCATATATGTAAGCTATACATTTTATAGACCAAAATATTCAATTTTTGTCAATATACCGTCAAGGATGGCACATAACTTTAGGTTATTTAAGTACTAATGGTATTAATAATTGCTAATAATTTATCTAAAATCCAATACAATTCTACACCAACTATTGGCTTTATTTCCTATTATTGGTTAATATCAGAAACTGTAGCCACTTGAATATTTACTCATGATATTTTTTATAAATGAAATACAGGCTGCCATGGATTGAAACCCATACTTGATACCAACGTGACAGAGTTGGTGCTAAACGAAGGCGAAGTTTTGAGTATAAAATGTATAAGCAACTACTCTACCCGTTTTCATTTTTTGATGGAACCCGAAGATAACGTAAGTTGCAACACTTCATTTTTTTGTGTTTCTTGTAGTTATTAAACAATCCTTAGTATAATTATATGAGTAACTTTTAACTTGCACGAAATAAATCCTACTCACATAGGAGTAAAAATCTCTCGTGCAAACAAAAAAGTCTCCCACAGAAAGAGACAATTTTCTCGTGATCGAGAAAATAGTCTCTTACTACGTATGCAAATATAAATGAAAGTGAGCACGCTGCTCTGCATCTTCAACTTAGGAAAGTTATCCGATACTTTTTACCACTATTTGTTATATAACACTGCCCACTTTTGTACTGTACGATTTCTTTTAGTTTGCATGCAAACTGTCGTAAGTATCTTCCGCAGAGCATAAAATTTAATTTTTCAAACACTTTTGTGTAAAAGATTTTTTTTTTTTTTTTTATACATTATAAAGATTTATTTTGTAATTCTATGCAGATAACGGTTTCCGAACATGATCTCATTTATAGTGAGATCAGCTATGATACTACACTTAAAAAACCATCAACCGTCTTTGGCGATACTGGCTGGTATGGCTGCGCTAATGATTGGGACGACATCAAGACGGTTAACGATCCACAAGCCGATTGGGTATACGTTTATGTTCAAAGTAAGAAAATTTCTCAATTTCATCTCATTTGATTATTTTTAAGTATTGATTGGTCTGGATCAATATAAAATTTACGAAAAAAAAAAAAAAAAAGAATGTCATTGGTTACAGGTAAAAAAGATCTATTATAACAATATCATAAATAAAGATTGTGTTATTTACATAGAAAAGACTGGGGTTGTCATAAAACATAGTAGGTATACACAAAATATCTTAAAAACTAGGGTCACCATTTTTATAGATTTTTGTGAATGCGAAGAGAGTTAAAAAACAAAGTTTCAAAAAGTTCATTAAGATTGTCAATCCATTAAAAAAGGTGGTGAAAAAATAAAAAAAAAGCTAAAACAAAGGGCTCATAACTCCATGTTAATTTTTACGGTAACCTTGTCAATCTACATTATGATAAGAAACGTAGGTGTACGAATAGTACAAGCACAAACAATTTTGACTAATGGTTATAATTTATTAGAAACCCAAGGTAAAACTTACATAAGTAATTTAAGCTAGAGAATTATATAAAATCAATTATATATCAAATTTAAAGTGATTTTTTAACACTCTAATATACGCACATCTTATTACGTACGACTGGACATTTTCCATGCATGGACATTGTTGAGCTCAGGGAGGTAAATTGTTATTAAAAAAAAAAAAAAAAACTATAAATCGTATGTTTCAAATTTTTGGGACCAAAAAACTGCTTTCTCTTCGAAAAAAAGCGAAAATCGACTTATAATATGACATCTTTTTTATGCAGCCAATAAAAGCGCGTTCGTACAGATTTACGATGGTTATCTACGACGTCAAGTTTCTTTCGGAGACGAAGCTATCCTGCCATGCTGCCCAACTTCCCCCAAATTTAACGTGACCCTCAAATCGGCCAACAACTTGGTATGTACTTAATTTTCTTACCTCTAATCTTACAGGCACACAGCCAATTTGTTAAATCGTGTTAACTAATTACTCTAGAATCTCATGCCAAGCGAGAGAATAACATTTGATCCGAAATTTGGATTCATCATCAAAAACTCAACGTACGCGGACAGTGGCGACTACACTTGTGAAATAAACCAATATGGTTTTACACAGAAAATACGCGTTACTCTTTTGGTTACCAAGGATTCAGCAATAAAAGTAGTGATGGAAACAGATTACTTTCCACAGGGGCACAACAAAGTGGGCTCGACAATAAACTTATACTGCCGCGTTAGAATGGATCTCAATAACCCCTACGAAATCTCTTGGGAGACCCCTCGCCATACGGTAAGAGAGAAATCATGCGCAACTCATCACGGCTTAAAAAGTTTCCGGATCATTTTATAATGTTTTTCGTTCGTTGTTTCATGGGCACATGATTTTTAGACCGTTCGTCCAACTAATGCATACGTCAATACACGGCTGAGCGATGTGACAGCTAGGCTTGACCTTAGTAACGTTACCAAGGCTGACGAGGGCTATTACACTTGTCAAGCAAATACGTTAAACGTGACGCTGAGAGATATTATTTATATCAAGGTGTACGGTGAGTTACAAAGTACATGTGCATTCATTGGTTCTTGCAATGCCAATTATTTTATCTTCGTCATGATGTTCTCCGTAGGTCCCATTGATCCATTTATTTTTCTGTCTGGCACATGCAAATTGATGGCCAATGTTGTTGGTCGGCCACATCTTTTGGTAGCTTACGTTAACGCGTATCCAAAACCAACTGTAACCTGGTAATACATTTTTCCTGAAATACAATCACTACACTTAAAATAAGAGCTCCTTTAGAATGGCATTGCCATAAGTACAACACATTTATACTGATAAATGTGTAATAAATTGTTAGGTTGGACCCCCTTGACAAAGAAATGGTATCGCCGGAAATGAGAACGACGTATGATAACGAATTGTCGAGCACTTCAATATTTCCAGTAAAAGGCGGTGATAATCCTAATGGTTTTTATAAAGTACGAGTAAACAATAGCGCTGGAGTCAAGGAGACCTTATTTGTTTGCGAAACGAGTCCTTACGAGAGAAGTAATTACCTCTTAATAAGTTTTTCTTTTATTACAATGGTGTTTTTCGTCTACAAGAATTATTTTTAATTTTGTTACAGTGTATGAAATAAGACTTCAATTTGTTAAAGACAATGTCAAATCCATATACTCTCTCAACGACAACGTAACTTTCACTTGTCAGGTTTATGGTTCAGACAAACCCACAATATCATGGTTCTACACAACTTGCCCCACATATCATTCACTAAAATCCAATGATAGTTGCAAGACATCGGAGCTTAAGGTTGGAGTAATTTAAAAATATTATAATCATTTATTACTTTGAATTTCGACAATTTTGTAAATGTATTGTACATAAAGGCAACAATAACGCAATAACTTTTATTATGATTTTAATGTTGAAGGGTGTAGAATTAAATGTGGACAGTAAAGTGAAAACTTATTCACAAGTAAGAATGAATGTGACAACGTTTGGACGATTGGTATGTGAAAGTGGTAATGTTTTTGAAACCAAATCAGACGGAATAAATATATTACTCACTGGTATGCATATTTTTTCATTCTATTATTTTTCATTAATGTTAACTTTGTAACCTTTTTTTTTTTTTTTTTTTTTTTCAAAGATGGCGTACCTGAAGTCGGTATCGGAGTTATTAGGCCAAAGGAAGACGTATACACAGGTGATAACGTGACCTTAATTTGTGCTGCTGTTATTCACGAATTTTCTTCGGTAAAATGGCTGCCAAATAAAGCCATGAATTTCGGTATGTTCTAATACACTGGATACTTCCATGCGATGATATTTTATTGAACTAGATTTTTCTATAATTTACTTAATATTCATTAAATTACAGATAAATTAGACCTCACATACGAAACTACCTCATTCACCATTCGTGCTATTCTTCTTATTAATAACGTGCAGGATTTAGATACAGAAAATTATGTATGCGAGGGAAAAACTTACGCGAATATAACCGTTACAACAGATTACTATCTTGACCCTAAAGGTAAGAGTCTTTTGCGTCACTAATATCGAAAATGCATTTTTCAGAATTCTCAGTGGTCTCAGGTGAAGTTCTAATAGATCGCATAAGTGGTAGTGTAATGTATAATACCAAAAGGTTCACTTGAGAGGAAAATGCGACACTTCATCTATATGTAATGTTTTTATGTTAAAATGTACAGAAAAGTACAAACAAAATAAATATATAGCAATATTTAGGCATGAAATACATTTACGTCGAATTGACAGTTTTTGATGAAACAACTAAAAGATCATTATAATATTGATTTCAATATATTTTGAGATTTTTACGTTAAGTTTTTAAACTAATTTTCAAACTTTTTGGGTAAAATTACTTAGAAATGAGTAACATGTGATTTTTGCTACTATGCTCCCACAAAATTCCATAAAAAGTTGATAAAACGATTTTTGTAATAAATTATTCCTTGCCAAATAATTTTTTTCGTGTATGTGAGAAAATTTCCCTGTGCATCCCTAAAACTATAGGTAGAATACAGAATTTCCTGCAATATTTAACCAATAATTTATTTTAGGAGCTCACTACACTTCATACATTTAAACATTGGTTTTCTTACCGAAATTTTTCAATTTATAGTTCCGCAAAAGCCAACCATTGTCAAGACAAATATGAATAACACTGAAGTAACTTTGACAGCGAGAGATGCTCAAGAGGATTTTTTTTTACAATGTTCCGCTGAAGGAAATCCAAACCCTAGTATAACATGGTATAAAAACGAAACACCTTTAGAGATATTGGAACAACAGTATAGTCTTGAAGATAACAATCAGAAATTGATAATGAGAAACCTTGTCAAAAGTAATAGCGGCAATTACTCTTGTCGTGCTACAAATCGCTATGGAACAGAACAAAAGTTTCAAAAATTAATAGTAAAAGGTGATAAGCTCATATGTTATTATTCATAATTCGTTATTATCATTATTAATACTGCTATTTCAAATTATCAAAGTAAATAAACATTCATAAAACAAAATATTATACAAACCGTTGAATTTCATTTTAGGAATTGGAATGTCTCTACCTTGGAGTGAAATTATAGCTGGGGTCATATTTATCATTATATTATGTTTTTTGACATTGTTTCTGATGAAAATTCAACTCAAAAAGGTGAAAAGTTATTACGGTTATTGTTGTATTTCTCTGTTGCTTTTGTTGCTTTAAAAACATAGACATTCTTTAATACAATTTGAAAGAGATTAAAACATTTCATAAATTATTTGATTATTAATTAAAGATAAAGAGAAAGCACTTTGAGGAAGGAGCCGTAAACAGCATAAATCCAGAACTATCGATAGGCGACCAAGCGCAACTTCTGCCATATGATACTAAGTGGGAATTTCCCAGGAGAAAGATAAAATTAGGTATGAAATCATAGAAACGAACGGTAGTAAAATTGTTGTGAATCGAATTTCCGCGTAATTTATCAAATCGATATTATACAGCAATTTAATTATGAAATTCGAATAAATTTTACTAGCTCAAAAAAAAAAAAAAATTTGACCCTGGTCTTGGTAAAATTTAATGTTTATCTCTAGCAACTCTAGCAAACTTTATTATAGTTGTAACGCCATGGGTACCTCGGGCCAATACATTTAACATACTTTCTTGAGTAATACATTTAACGATATCCCCAATGTCAAATTAATTCTACTAGTATTCACATTATTTTTTGTAGTATAGATAGCGATATAGATAGATTATCAGGATTCATCTACAAATTTTACTGTAGGCTACGGTAATTTTTTTCCTCCTGAAAAACCAGGAAAACCGTGGCTGATATTGGAGGTTGGTATAGTAGGGCCTTATCGTAATCACCTGCAGGGAAAGCAAACCAGCAAGGAAAACATTACCATAGCCTACAGTAAAATTTTTAGATGAATTCCGATGAAAAATGGTACTATCTATTAAAAATTACCGTGAATGCCAGTAAAATTTATTTGGAACGTGTATAAAAAAAAAAAAGTTGCTTTTACGGTAAAAGTTAATGTAACCTTTGTCTTCGTGTGAAGGTATTAATATGTCCTGGTATTTATAAATTGAAGGGAAACAATTAGGAAAAGGACATTATGGAGTGGTGATGAAAGCCAAAGTTTTCGGAATTAATGGCAAGGATCAAGTAACAACTGTAGCCGTTAAAACTGTTAAAAAAAACGCAGATGAAACTGAAATTCGTGCTTTAGAAAGTGAATTGAAAATCATGGCACATCTCGGAAAGCACTTAAATGTTGTAAATCTTCTTGGTGCTTGTACGAAAGATATTGCTGAGGGTAAGAATTCAATTGGTAGTTCAAATAGAAGGGAATCGGGTGATTATTATTATTATTAATTTTTTTTTTTCAAATACTCAAGGTCAACTGTTGATAATCGTAGAATTCTGTAAATTTGGGAATTTGCGAGACCTATTGCTACACAACCGAACAAATTTCATTGATCAAATTAATCCATCTACTGGTAAAATTGACCCGTCCATTGGAAAAGAATCAATGTGGTATCAATTTAATGTTTTTGTATAATTAAATATTAATCATTCAATATAATTATTGATAAAATCCAACCCTGCAGGTATAATGATATTCAATCGAGTTTTACAACTGGAGAGCCAGAAAGGTGATGCTTAAAATTTTTTAAAACTATACTTATAAATGATAATTAATATTTTTATTCACAACGAGAACGTTATGAGAAAAAAAATTTCATACTGCAAATATAGTCGAAGAGAATTTCAAGTTTTCTTTTTTTGTTAAAAAAAAAAAAATACCATTGACATGTCCTAGTAATCTGAGCTCGGCCTCAAGTAACGAATCCGTTGTCTACTGCGACAGAACTCAAAACTTAAAACATCCGATTGACCTGAATAGTGATAGTAACAGCAGTGACTCCCAATCAGACTCGTCCTTCAATTGCATGTATGAAGACAATTATACTGTTTTTAAGCTAATTTGCTCCCAGAATCTTATTTCTTGGTCCTTCCAAGTTGCCCGCGGGATGGAGTATCTGTCCTCGAGAAAGGTGCGTCCTTATGTACACGACCACTTGTTCGCTTGCCTCAAATGTGTGTATAGCACTTTAGCAGTTTTCTGATATTTTTATATTTGCGTAGATTTTGCATGGGGACTTGGCCGCTAGGAATATTTTATTGGCAAAAAACGACATCGTCAAGATTTGCGATTTTGGTTTGGCCAAATCGATATACAAAGATGGCAATTACCTAAAGCAGAGCGATGCGCCATTGCCTGTCAAGTGGTTGGCGATAGAATCTTTCAGGGACGGGATCTTCTCTACGCGGTCAGATGTTTGGTCATTTGGTGTAGTGATGTGGGAATTTTTCACTCTCGCGGAGACACCCTATCCCGGCATGAATGTCGAAAACCAATTGCAAAAACTTATCGACGGTTACAGGCTGAAACAACCGAGATATGCTACCAACGACGTGTTAGTGAAAGATCCACCATGTCTTAATATTCTTAATTTCCTCAAAATACAATTACTTTACACCATCAATTACAATTTTAGTTACAATATTATGCGCAGCTGCTGGGAAGCCAAACCGCACGGAAGATTGTTGTTACCAGAAAAACAGGTACTGTATGTTAGTACAAGTATTTTCGATACTCTGTACAAGAAAAATGTGTACTGGTACAGGTATATTTGGTACGGTAGTATACTTTAAAGTACCTTAGTGAGTATAGATAAACCTTATACTTAGTACGTCAAAATCCGATACGTAGTACGGGTTTTTCCTGTACCAGTACAGAAAGTTAGTCAGCCAGTGGGAGCATATAGAATGTCAGTATATATATACGTAGCTGTAAAAGTTCAAGAGGTTAGGATTTCAGTATATCCACCACAACACAATATAAAGTTCAATACATTGATACGAATCTAACAAGATGTAATGATAAGTGCAGTAGGCACTTGTAGTCACTTTCCTGTTGCGTATAATAATTGGTTTTCACTCGCAAAGAACAATTTACATATTGAGCCAAAATAACAATGACAATCCCATACATGTATGCAAGTATTCACACATATATATACATACATATCTCCACTGTATATTATAAGCGCACGTACTATGCGCGGTAGACGGTACAGTAGAAAGCCATGCGCAGTATACAAATTTAATAGACTATCCATGGTACAGAAAAATCCTGTACCGGTTGCAGAAATCTCAAGACCTGTACGTTATTTTTCTATGCTCATCACTTTTGGTATAGCTTATTCTGGTAACAACAATCTTCCGTGCGACTGATAGACCAACTTTCACGGAGCTAACCGAAATGATCGGCAAGCTTTTAGATGATTGCGTAAAGGTGCACTATGTTAAACTAAATCATGTTTACGAGAAAATGAAAAAGGCGGATAATCTCACTGGCACAAACGACTATTTGGCCTTGATGTCGGTGCCATATTACGTCACGATTGCCCCGTCCCAGTTTGTTAACGTCAACAACTTCCTTCAGGTTACAAATCCACTTTACGTTAATACGAACAACGACAAATCTTTGACCACCGACTGTATTTCTGAAACATCGGAGAAATTCATCGTGACGTGCCAGTAATATTAAGTTGAGACGAAACAATAAGTGAAAAATGGATACCTAATTTAGGATACCTTATGGCTTTAAGTACGGGTGGCAGAAACTAAAATGGTGTTGGAAACTAAAATTGATGTAACATCGATAATAGATGCAATCTGTTTATTGTATTACACATAAACAAAAAGTTTGCAATTTTTATTAAGTAAAAAATCAAGGAAGAGAAATAAATATCGTTTTATTTTTTTATAATTGTATCGTATATAATTATAAAATACCAACTTACTGCGACTCGGACAAAGCATCACATAAAGAATCGAATTTTTTCAATATATTGTACATATTGTATAACAGTTATATATTATTATCTATGCTGAGTACTCGAGCAAATGTAAAAATGCACGAATAAGGCATCAAAATCGGTCGAAAACTCTTTTGTGTATTGCGAAAGAATTCGCAGTACTATAAGAATAACATATTTTTTTTAGTTTTATTTTTTTTTACCATTTCGTAGCATAGGTTCTCCTGTAGGTTTTGTCATTTAAGTTTAGTAACGTCATGTTACGCCACGATTAATATGTAGATTGACCTGTAACAAATACTAAAGTAATTTTTAGTTACAATACATAAAGTAGCTGAAATTTTTAATGCTTTTGTAAGGTTTTTACAATTTCAAAAAAAATTTTTGTTTAAGTTATAAAGTATCGAAAATAATGTTTTGAAAAGATTGTATACAATAAAGCTGTAACTTAAAATTATGTGCTAATGTATTGTTAAATTATTGTTCTGTAAATTCATATTTTCGCAATAAACAAGACTCCTTTTTATACGTTCATAGGATGAAGAAATAACTAGTCATTAATAATATATTACAAAAACTTCAAATTAACTTTATTATTTTTCGTTAACCGTTGATAAGCTAGGGTTTGTAACATCTTTTTTTTTATCTAAATATTATTAGAAGTTAATGTAAAATAGTACTGGAAGAGCTACATTTTTTTTTTTTTCGGCACTATTTTTTCTATCCGTCGTTTTAGGAAAGTAGGTACATTTAGTTGGTTATCATCATAAGACCAACTATCTATCAGCGATATAACCTGCGAAGACGCGACAAGCTTTCCTTACCCTAAGGCATACTCATCTATAATACTTATGTGCCAAGCGTAATCGAAAGCTATCAACGTCGTAAGATTCTTTGTCACAAGCCACTTTTTTACTGATAATAATAAAAAAATGATGTTAATAAAATGTTTAGAAATCATCAGAAATTTTTTTTTTTTTATTATCTCATTAAACATGTTTTTTATTATTAATAAACAGACTTAAAAAAATTTAAATATGTTCACCAATCAAAATTTAAATAAGTTAAGGCATGATTCTTAATTTAATTAATAATGTAGGTGCAAGAATTTTTTTTGTTAAGACTTTAGTGGTATAAGTTGATAATTAGGAAATAAATAAGTAATTGAATAATTTTTTGTAAAATTCCACGTTTCTTGCTATCCAAACAAATTATTTTTTATGGGATCGTTGCAATGTAATACAATTGCTTGAAATTTTGTGAGTTGCAATAATTGTAAGGTAAAATACTGATTTTTCTTATACAAAAATAAGAAAAATCATAATACTGTTGAATAAATGAAAAACTGCAAATGCCATTGAATTATGTTTAAGATTAATCAAGAAATTAGGGTATAAGAGTGCTTCCAAAGGTTTTTCCCTAAAATAATTAAATCAATTATGATTGATTTTTTTTTTAATAACGTAGTTTGATGGATAATGTATATTTTTAGGAAAATAACGTGGATTTTCAAAAATACAAAAGTAAATTTTCTTTTTCATTTTTACAGTTTGTTATATTTTATTCAAGCTGAGCTGAATAAGACGATCTTTCGTATGATCCTACGCACAAGCAAAATTTAGAGATTAATTTAATTTATGATGAATATAACTAACTAAAGATACGTTAAACACACACATATACGTATAAAGTTAGACGTAAAGTTACTCGAAAGATATTTTTTTAGTAGAGGGAAGTGAAATAAACAGAGAAAAAGTAAACATAAACATTTTGATTTGATGAAAAGTTGTACTTAAAAAAGTAGAGTAAAAGAAATTGCTAGTTACAATCCCAGAGCAACAAGTAAAATTAACATTTATGTTTATTATTTTATGGCCATGGTCAACCCTTACAAAATATTTTCATCGAAAAAGTTGAAAACCGTGCATCAGCGATCCTTCGAAGAGAATCAGGCAGCTAACTTTGGTTTCCTAAGACGATCTAATACTGGCGCAATCTGGAAATTAATCTCACGATTCTCGGGCACGTACTCCAGCTCGACCATCACCAGCTTGTTCAGCCCTTCCTTCAGATACGGCGCTGGTACGTACAGTGTCATCTGCGGCCCCATCAAAGCCCAATACCGGCCGACATTGTAACCATTGACGAACGCGATCCCTTTACCCCACTCGGCTGTATTCAAATAAGTATCTCGCGGATCTCCGGAGACGTTGAAGTGCCCGACGAGAATCTGCGGTCCACTACTCAGGGTTCTCACCTCCATGTACCTTTTGACCTCGACAGCGTCCAAGCTTGATTCAAAGATCGTATCGAATTTAAAACCGGTCGCGTTCCACGGTGAAATTTCGAAGTCGTTCAACGTCACGTTGAATATCCCCTGGAAAATAATCATCGTCAGCAGCCATCATATGTTTATTCAAGTGCAACGTAGATACCTCACCTTGAAGTCTTCAACGTCGACATTGCCAAAGTTGACCCGGCCTTGATTTTCCACCAGCAGCTTCAGGCTTCTGGCCCCAGGAGTTTTCAGTTGCACGCTCCTTACGTTGTGCGTCCTACTGAGCACCCCGGACAAATTGTCATCGAAATAAACGAGGGCTCGGTCTTTCGGAGTCGCGTGCAAAGTAGAGTCGTCTCTCGAGCTTTCGCCCACTGGTAGGTCCGCGGTGTACAGAACGAGCCAATGTGGGAGGTTCAGAGCTTCGAAGGTCAGCGGTTTTGTGGAGTGCACTGTTTTGCTGCCGAACAGGTGACGTGCTTCTGGATCGAACAGCCGCAAAACTGCCGTCATTGGTACAGTACCGTAGTCTCCTTTTACCGATACGTTGGGCGTTGGTACGTTGGGCAGTGGAAGGTACTGGAGGGAATGGCAACGGTTCAACAATCTAATTTTTAATATTAATTTTTTTATGTTTTTAGGTGTTTGTAGCAATAATTATCACGAATCATGCGCCGAGTTTCGTGTCATGCACATGCTGATTAATCAAGTGGTACAAAATTTTCAGATTAAGTGACAGAAACAAAATAATTGTATTATCTAGAAAACAAAAAATATTACTTGATTTCAACTTCCATGATTTATTTCGACAAGTGGTAAAAATATTGTTTTCTAATTAGTTGGTAAATTCTTTTAACAGTGTTTTTAAAGTAATTATTGTTAAAAATATATTTTGATTAATACTTATAAATTACTGGGCAGCTCAAATGCTAGAATTAAATTATTTTTCATTAAATAATTTATGTACGATAATTAATGTTTTCAATTAAAAAAATAACATGTCTGCAGTAAAAAATACTTTAAAAAATCAAGTAAGTTTTTTTGCAATAATAAAATTAATAAATACTGGATGCAGGTTAACGTAAAAATTGTAGATACCTTGGAAACGGTTTTTCTAATATCAAAATATTTTGGGGTCGGGTCACCAGCTTCGGTCAAAGGTGCATCGTAATCGTAGGATGTCAAATCCGGTATGTAGTTGTCAAATATGTTAGCGCCTAGAAAAATTACAGTGTTTTAGAAAGTTATATCAAAAAGCAATTTCATAATTAACGATTTACGTTCGAAACTGGTAAAGGGCGCCAACAGTTGAACAGAAATTCATGAGTCACTCACCAAATCGTAGCAAATTGTTGATGCTACTACTATTACAATTATTCGTGCCTCTTATCGACTGTAAGAAGTTGAAAATTAAATTGCTTTCTCATCGTCAAAATAAAGCAATGTAATTTTTTATACACTACCATAACTGACAACTAAATCATACCTAATATTTAAACTCATAGAAAATTCAAATAAACTACATTCTACAATCAAATCAATAAAATTGAAAATTTTCACTCTTTAAAAATCGAAATAATTCCTTACACTTAACAAAACTGTGAAAGAAACAAATCGTCATTTTGGAACGGCTGTGTATTTAATAATAAAATAAACACACTATTCCTAGAACTAGTTCCAACTTTTTCAGGTCTTACACATTACCAAAGGTACTTTCATGTCATACATAATCCAAACTAATATTTAAATACCGTTGTACTAACAAAAACAAACATAAACAAAAACCGTGGTAACATTAAGACTTCAGAACACCACAGTTATCATTTACTTTGTAGTTATAATATAGTTTTTCAATTATGTATAGTCTAGAAACCTTGAAAGATTAGTGGTGCCATAAATATTGTACATATTTGAGCTTACGAAAAATTTCAGTTTCGTATACAACAATTATATAATTCTCAAGCTGGTAATTGTTTATAAATTTAATGATACAAAAAGGTTCTTTATTATGTGTAAGACCTGACATGCTAACGCACCATGACGCTAGTCTCTTGAGATATTTTATCCATTTTTTAATATACAAATATTCTTAAAAAGTCGAAAATGTTTGTTTAGTGTTTAGTTTCTTGACCCATACAAATTACCTGCAGTAAAGGCAAAGTTAGTTCCACCGTAGAACATATAAAAATTGACAGATGCTCCGACAGATAGCATCTCGTCAAGTTTTTTCGTCACATTGTAGCTATTAACTCTCGGGAAGGGCTCCTCCCAATGGGCCAGCCATCCGGGATAGAATTCTGAGTTTACCAGTGGCCCCTGAATCATAAAATTGACAAGTTGAAAAAATGGATACTAATAAAAACAAGCGTGACTATAGCGCCAGGGTTTTATTACTTTTGGTTCCGATTCTCGCATGAGCTTGAAGTTATACGTGACGTTTCCAGAAGTGCCAAAGTCAATGGTTGCATAAGCTCCCGGGACGGATCCGCAGCGTAGCGCTTGTCTGGACGATCCGTCGGTCGTGTACAAAACGGCGTCACTTCCGACGTGGCCTTTGATGATATCGCGCAGTTTGTTCATGTATTTTTTATCGCACGCTTTGAAGCTTCCGTACTCGTTTTCCACCTTTAAATGCACGAATGTAACGGCTTGCCGTGGAAATATTTTAGTGATCAACGATATCCGTTGTCTTTGGGCTTATCGCTGGTAGATTTTACCTGAACCATAATAATCGGTCCGCCATTGCCTCTCAACAACGGCTTCACTCTCGTTAAAACTTGATTCAAATAGTCCTCCGCGTACTTTAGATATCCTTTGTTAAAAAAAAAAAAAAAAAAAACATTTTCTTAGTTGTGGTTCGTGAGCTTTGTGGATAAGGTTTTTTCTATTGGTGTTTTTTTACGTACTTGTATCGCTGGTGCGCAGTTTGATGTCAGGCACTCGACTAAGGAGCCAGTATGGAAAACCTCCCTAAAAAATATTACAAACAAGTAACTCAATATCAGAATCGTACTGTTCTGAACACGTGTAAAATCCAAATTCAGGTATATTGTGTCTTGAACCACGAAAAAAAGTTTATATAATTTTACATCTAATCAGTTTATTGATTAGCGTTAGGGTAATCTCTTACAAAATCCCTTTCAGCGCAGATGTATGGCCCTGGTCTTAACAAAACCAACAAATCCTCTTCTTGAGCTAGTTTTATGAATTTTACGAGATCCGCATCCCCATCCCACACCCATTTATTTGGTTCAGGTTGGTGTAAACTCCATTCGACGTATCTATCGGTATTTTTAATTTTGCAAAATTGATATTTTTATAACCTCTTAAATGTCTTCATTATTTATTTGAAACTACGGGCTTACGTTGAAACAGCATTTAACCCAGCAGCTCGAATTTTTCTCAGTCTGTCTCGCCAGTATTGATGGGGAGTGCGGAAATAATGAAAACTGCCACTGACATACCTGAACGGCCTACCATCGAGTAAGAATTGATTGTTTTCGTAGTCGATGGCAAAACTTCGTTCATTATCGACCTATGAATAAACCGGACATGTACAATCACTAATACTTTATGATGGAATGATAAAATAAAAAATATACTTGCATGATTTTCTGCTTGAATAGAACTACAACAAAGTAGTGCCAAACACAGGAACAAAAATAACATTTTCAACATTTTTTTTTCTACCGTAACTGTACTAATGCTCTTACACAACAAGCTGTCACTCACGAACTGGTATTTCTCTTTCCCACTAAATACTACCGTTATCAGAGTTCGTGCGTTTAAATAGACAACGAATCAACTGGGTTAATCTCATTGATAATACGCTATCTCAAGTATTGTTGATTTTTCTTTCTCCCGTTGCTGTTACGATGTGAGCTTTAATATATCTAAATAACTATGTACATGTTATTTAAAAAACAAAAACATAAATATACGTTTACAATGATGAATATCTTAATGTGGAAAACTTTAAAAGTATGTAAGAATATTTTTTTGTATTTTAAANTAAAGTTATGTGTTAAATTTAATTATTTAAAACAAACTGTTGTTTGGATTAAAATATTTAAAATAATTTATATTTATGTCACGTTTTGCAATACTTGACATAACTTAGAACAAAGGATATTTAAATATTTTATTTTCTTGGAAGTAACTTTTATAACATCGTAAATAATGTATCAAATGGCTATTATTGATTTTCTTACACGAATACATTTTTTAAATTAGAGAATTTCATTTGCATAATTAAAAGTTTTCCTCTATAATTTATTTTTATTTTGTCTTCAGGGTATCATTGCCCTTATATTTTTTAATTTTTTTCACTATTTAGTTAAAATAATTTTTATTCTTTTTTTTACAAGCATCTTTTTTCGTTATTTGTTTTAATTTTATTTAAATATTAGTTTTTTTTATTTATGTGCTTGTCAGCCAATTGTTGTTTATGTATGAAAAGGTCATATTCAAATTTCTTTTTCAACAGTTGTTTTATAATTTCTAGTAAGAGCTTATACATTGACCCCTTCTTTTATTACCAATTAGATCTGATATAAAATTTTTTAAATCTTTCTAAAGTGATAATATAGATAAGCCATTTCGTTATGTTAGCTAGGATAGTTTAATCCAATCAAGATTATTAGTGCAGATTCTTCGAGAATTAGAAATCGTCTTTAACATCATGGAGCATGTGATCGGAGGCTCTGTGCTTTGATCTACGGTAGATAAACTTGTGGATAGAGAAATTTAAATACTTTCTTCTTATACAACTGAAGTCAAATTGTAATAAGGCAATAATCGAACATATGATTGCAAAAAGCATTAATATTTCTTATTCAATCAACTATTTCAACAATAAATTAGTGAGATGACTATTATACAAGTAAAAAGTTGACAGTGAAATAGAAAAATCACTGTTGTGTAGTCAATAACGAGAATCGTTCCTGAGAAAAATTTTTCAAATATTAGGGTGATTAACAATTAATTTCTCCGACTTAATGCTTGATTCTTGAAATTTTAACAATTTTAATATCACTGGACAGACGTATAAATATAAATGTTTTGAAAGTCCAGTATCCTGACTTTGCGCAATAGACGATATAAGTTGGCTTTTTAACACATATCGATGACTCGAAACTAAATTTTTTTTTTCTCACAAACGGATACCTAGTCATATATTTTTTAATGTTCTTTAAGTTTGATTAATTGTTGATTCTGTAAAATTTATTTTGAGTTGCTTTAACAAAACGTTTTTTAAATTTGTATAATTTAATTCATGTACAGTACATTTTTTAAATACTTTTTTTTCTCTTGGATCTATTTTATTATATTTTAAATTGTAAGTTTCTTTTCACGTTGAATTTTATAAAGATCTTCTATGATTAACACATGATTCATTTAATATGGTTTTTAGGTACAAAACATTTTTACTCTTTTGTTTAAATTAAGAAAATAAATGTAGTAAAATAAGGGAACAAATGAATGAATAAATATAAACAGAATGTGTTTTTTTTTTTTATTTGATGATTCATGAAACTACTTTATCTGCAAGTAAAGTAATATTAAATCATATTTAGACGAACTGTTAACCCTATACTATTGCTACGTTAAATTATTCAATTAGAAACGCAATAATTTGTAGCACAATCTTCCAATTTTAAGGTAAATTTGGTCACGCGTCCTACTTTTGTCTTTAACAGTCTTTATTTAATAGTTAACATCAGATCTGTAGCACGATTTCGTGTGTATTACGTGAGTCATTATAAAAATTTGTGGCTACCAATTGCTAATAGTTTAATCCAATTCACTTCAAAAATTAAGCAAATGGCTTACTAGTTATCTCATTAGGTGATTTTATTTTTCAAAGAATTAACTTATAACGGATTATTCGTGCTACACAAAAAGTTGCCGGAAAAATTAGAAAACAACTGACAAAAGTCATCGTTGAATTCTGTTTCGTCACGTCATGATGTTAAAGTTTTCCATGACAGTAGTAAACAAGTTTTGTGCTTATACTTTTATTTACCGACAGTATGAAAATGTATGTATTACGTGATTGTGATAACCAAAATGAATAATGTATTCGGCGATATGTCTGTATCGTATTTATCTGTACGAGTAATCAAATGTACGTTTCTATACACTTCTCGGCTTGAATTTTTAATTGATACACTAGCGGATTCTTGATTACTTTTTATCAACATTGGGGTAAATTTCCGTTGAGTTCATTCAAGGCATCCTAAGTGAATGGATCTAGATCATTAAAATTTTTAGGTATATATATACAATTCTATTGAATTTTACAATGTAATTGAAACTACATTTATTATGAAAAGTCGTTCTATCCAAACTCTACTTAAATATGATGGAATTCTTACAAGTAGTCTCGGGGGAGGGAGGGTGTTCGCAAGTACATTGGTCCTGCACTTTTAAAAAGACTTTCACAAGGAGTGCTTGCGGGCGAAGGAGGTTACATTAGATAAGACAAGCACAGCAGGGTTTCGACAGGAGCTCACCGACCTCGTCGTTATCCATTGTTCAGGTTATACGTGTCCAAAGTATGTTCAATTGCAACCAAAAATCAAATCTTCTGACGTGCTCGCGCTGCATAGAAGTGGTGTTTGCAAAGCTTTCGAGGTTTCAGATGTTGAGGTAATATAAATTTTACTTGATACGGAGCTGCCTCGGAAAACAATTAATAAGAGTCAAAATGTTCTTCGTAAGCTTAAATAAGCATAGGTAATCAATCAGGTGATTTTTCATCGTATGCTAGCATACCCATTTGACAAATTTTTACTCTAAAAGCAATGTTTATAAGAAATGTTTGATACGTAAAAAAGATTTCTTGATCATTTAATACATTTGTCCATGTTTTTCTAATTTTCCAAATATTGAATTATAAGTATCACCTCGAGTACAGAGCTAATATGACATGTATTATTTGTATAATCGAACATATAACACATAATATTTTAGGATTCAATTTATAATTGTGACTGAGTTGTAAAGAAGTACAATTACATACTTATGATAATGACTGAAATTTATACAATTCCTTATTTATTATTTTTAATTCATACGGCAACATCAGGTAATTGGTACATAAATTGTCGTACTTTACCCCAAAATTTTAACTTTTTTCTTACCCATAGGGAGAAGGAGGGATAAGAAGAAATAAAGCTTTCCCGTAGATTTTTTTGATGTACAAATACTCTTCTCCGTATGTAGTCTTTCTAAGACACTATTTGGTGTAAAACCTGTCCTGTTGGTAGGACAGACATTTAATAAGCTGTCCCCAATCTCAAGGTACCACGAATAAAGTAGCCTTAATATGTCAAAATGGGAATCAATCACAGTTGGTCAGTGTATACATCGTTCATTCAAAAGAGAATGCGAGAAACACAAAGAAGCTTTCAATACACATCATGGATGAAGTAATTATCTGGTGATTACATGACGATGTAGGGAGTGACGAGCAGATGCAGCTTCATTAACAAATACGATACGTAGAGTTACTATCGTTGCACGGGGTCTTGTAAATACAGCAACATGTATTACGGGAACATAATTTATTGTCTGCTGCATAGTGTCCGATATTTCCATTGGTGTATACATATTCCGGACCCCCCTTTACTCTTTACGTGAAGAGCGTCAGGAGAAAACAGTAAACGCAAATCATAAGTTAAATAGTGTTTTAAAAAATTTTTTTTCTCTATAACTTGTAATTTTTTGGAGATTTCAACAATGTGAGCATATAATATGTACACACAACAGGAAATAATTTTCCTCACATTTTTTCTTGATAAGATTTCAAATAAAGTAGGATTTATGGTTGAATGGAGAAAAATGATTGCAGCGGATGTTTTCTAGATCCAGAAAAGGTTTATTAATTTTTTTTTTTATTCATGGTTTGCGTAATAACAAAATTTTTTTTTCCACATCAGCACCTTCAACGGAAATTTCATTACCATTCATTTTTTGAAAATATCTTTAGCTTACAAACATTTAGTATGCACGTATATTGCTGAATTGGAAAACTAGTTCATTTTCATAGTTAAATAATCAATTTAATTCCCAACTTAAAAAATTAAAGCTACTTAAGTTATTGATATTTATAAACGCTCAGATGACATGAAATTTTCCAAATGATAAATTAGTTGAATCCAAAACAAGTCATTCATACTTTTTCTGCAAGTCTTGCTATTTCGTTCATCTACGAATTTTGTTATAAAAAAAAACAACGTTTTATATCTCACCTTTTTAAAAACAAAACAAAACAGAAAGGAATAATTATTCCGAACGCATGAATAAGCATGAATGCTGAAAGTGCCTCGCATTATCAAAACGAATCATTTTGCAGTATTGCAAAAGCTGTTTATTAAAACTTTGTCGTTATTAAAACTTTGTCGTTCACTTTGAAGGAAATCCAAAAATGAGGTCCTTTCAAGCAACCACAAGTAAAACCCGCTACCAGCTGAGTTGACGAACAATCGTCGAGAAATCATTTACAAAAGGCAAGATGTACGTCCTCATTTAAAAAAATCGTGATATCTCAATTACAGCGTGGGCCCAATGTAGCTCCATTTTGAACCGATCCTCACAATTAACATCCAAGTTCTAAGAAAAAGAAGGAAGAAAGAGAAGAATAAAGCGAAAAACAAATACGTATAATTTTCGAAAGGGCATTTCGAAAGCCATAATTTGCGAGTACAGCGCGACACTGGCGCCGAACGCGTAGACAGGAGTGAAATAGAAAAATACACGGAGAGTCTAGGCGCTCTCTGCTTCGTGGTAAACGATTAAACAAACACTTTTCAGAATCGTTCAAGCTAATGGGGTAATAGATACAGCATTGGAAGCTGATCATTTTTGACGTGTATATATAAACGCATCCGTGCATACACATGTACGTGTGTTTCGTAATCCCATGAGAATTACATTGAATATATAGGTACGACAGCGCAGTTGAGTTGAATCGATCGTCCGTCACTCCCAGGGAGCGCCTCGCGTAATTACACCGCGCGCTCGTGTAAGCGTGTGCTCTCTTTTTCGCGACTTACTGCTGCCGTTGTATCGCGAAGACAATTACCGGACCAATCATCATTACCGGTGCTCTTCTCTGCTTGGCATGCACTGCTCGAAAGAGGGAATAGGAGGCGACTTCATCCTCTCGTGCGGCGTCTACTGCGTTTAGCGAGCCGAATGACCACTTTCCGATATACATGCGTGCGGCCCACGTTTTTCCGCACGCCGATCTCCGTGATGTGTACACGTATACATTGGTTTTAATGGCATCCTTCTCTCTCCCTTGCCCTCTTCTTCGCCTTTTTTTTCTCCTCCCTCTCACTCCCGTGGTGACGCAGGGGGGAAGCACTGGCGCGCGCTTTAACACGCGCGCCGCTCGCTTGGAGAACTCATTGAGTGAGCAGAGCGACGCGCGAGTGCGCCGATTTTTCCTGCGTATGTGTGTGTACTTTTCGATCTTTCGTATCGTACAACCATCCTGCATTGATCGTTGCTTCTATCGATTTCATTTTCATGGTTATAGTATCTTGCCGATTTTTGCCGATTTTTGCCGATTTTCGGTGGCTCTGGTCAAAAAAGTATGTGCGCGAGGCAATAGCTCCATTTCTGTATGTCAAAGGCAGCACCGGTAGACAAGAGGCGATAAAAGTGAAAAGGAGCGAAACAAGAAGAAGAGGAGCAAAACCGGCAGTGCCTGTCTCGCCGTTCATACACACACGTACGAGAGACATTGAGGCTGCATTATTTACTTTTTGCTCCAAGCGTACTTACTTACATCGAGAAGACGAGCTTTTGAAAAGCGACAGCAGCGGCTACTGGAAGCTGCTGGTTCGGTCCATGCTGCATAGAGACGCGACGACTCAAAGAGGCGAGTCTGGCATTAAGTACTCGCATCGGTTGCGCGCCATTGTTCGGTAAAAGGTGGTGTGCCAAGGGAGGAAATCGTCGAAACTTATTGCACGTATTGCGAGCGGAAGAAGAATCAAGCTCTTGCACGTGAGTTGGCAGCGGAAGGAGTAGTCCAGGATTACCTAATTTGGATTTCCGAAGAAATCGGTACCGATTCGAAAGAGGAGCCAGTCAGTATTACGGGCACTACAGTCGCCGAGAGGTGGCCTTCGAGGAAAACTCCGAGGTGAGCCAAAGGCATGAATGGACCGACTATCGTACACTCTGGCGCTTGACTTTTTTTTTTCCTTTCAAAAGGTCGTCGATACCGATTTCTCAATGCCGTCCGCGATGCCGAGCCCCCGGCTAAATGTATCGTGTCTCGGTCAACGCGTTTCGAGTGAATCGTTTTATCTCCTGTCAGTTGGCGTTTTGAATTTTTTTTCATTTTTTTTCCATTACAGTTTAGAAACCTCAATTGAAAAATTTCCTAATGGGACTTTTCTTTTTTTAAATAGATCCAATCCCCTTTTTTTTAAGTCCACATTGGGATTTTGATTGTTGGGAAGACGCAGACGCCGAGACGATGTAAAAAGCTGTGTTTGTATATACTTGGCGCCACCTTATATGCTGATCAAACAAATGTAAATTTAATATCGTAATATCAAACAACTCGTCAAAGTCTTCATTTTCGTGTTAAATTTAATTTGTGTGATACGCAAGTGCAGTTGATTCAACAAAGAAAAAGCTAATAAAAGAAGACAGTTGGATTTTGATACTTGAAAACAATTGAATAAATATTACAACTAACTATGGCAATATTATCGAACGTTGATTGTTAACTAAACGACACTCTGACGAATAATGTAAACAGCTAATGTAAGGAAATTATTTAAAAAATCTCTTGTAAATGTCTCGTAAACAACAACAGCTTTGTTCATCGAAAGTTTTGTCTTGCGACTAAGACTAGACCTATACTCTGAGAAAGGTCAACCAATCAGTGGGATATCTTCTAGTCAATGTTATACATATGTTCCACAACGAAACGATGTTTTAAAAATAGCTAGAGTAACAATAACATTTACCAATACACAACTCTTTTGTAAGATTGCTGTTTACGTTGTTGGTAGATATACGTCATCGAGAACCAAGTTTTATCGCACAGACATTGGTGATAGTACAACGTTGAAGGTTTAACGCTAGAAAAAGTAGAGTTATTCGCATACGAGTAAAGTTTCATGGTTAGCAGTAAACTTACTTACATCCTTGACTTATTCACTTGAAAAAAGTTTTAAAACTCTGCCAAGATCAATAGTCTCTCAACGCTTCATTAACAAGTGACTCCAGATACTGAATGTAGTAAAGTAGTGTCTCTTTACGTGTTTGAGTATTTTTTTTTTTTATAGTTTAGCTTGATATAAACACGAGTATTTGCGCTGTCGAATTAATTGTGCCCCACTTGTTTTAAGTTATTATTTCTAAAAAAAAAGGGAGAACCTCGGTAGGAAAAACCCATGTCAACACACATATTCCGAAATGTAACTGGATAGCTATGGAAAAATCTATAAAACTTGAGTACATGCCCAGACTGACCTCATGCACTTTACTAAATATACTAAAACTATATACACGCGGGATTTCTCACTGGCAAGTGTCACTTTCGTCAGGATACTTGACGTAGGAAATGTTAACAGATATGTTTGTGAAGGGTATGTTATGATGCAGTAGTTATCTAGTACGAACAGTGTTATGACATACAAACGATTCCTTAATGGATGAGAAAAACATGTTTGATTGGCGCCGCGTAAACAAAACAAAAAACCGCGGGTAGAGCAATAAAAGGAATAGTAATAGTCTAGTTGGCGTATGTTGTCTGGTCAAGCGCATAGAGCCATGGCTCTAGAAAATATAAAGTATTGCGTGATCTTGTGATGACGTTTGTGTGCTGGACGAGCCTCCAGGGGTCACGTTAGAGCATGTGTAGTATCGTTTCGAAACGATTTCTTACACGCTTCCTCGAGATAATGGGCCTTTATGTGTGTTGGAGTACAGTATTCATATTATTCAAGAATTAAATTAAGATATAATGAAGAAAATACATTGAATAGGATAAAAAAAATGGAAGTTTCCTCTACACTTATTTTGGTTTTAAATATATCAGCTTATCGGGAGCAAAGCTTATTTTTGGAGCTTGATTTCGTGGACTATTTTTTTTTTTTTTTTTCCAGTGAGAGATAAAATGTAAGCATTAATCTTTGACGATTTCTTAGCATTTTATAAATTTATCGTTGTTTGAGGGTTTTTAACGTAATGATGGATCGCTACATAATAAGTTACGTAGATTGCATTTTTCAATAGTATGACATTTATACAGCAATAACATGACATCTGAGTGGAAAAAAAGCAGGTATCTCATTTTTTAAACTGGAAATGTAGTATTTTTTGTTTGATGAAAAAGCTATTATCTTGATTTTTCATGAAGAAAGGTAGTCCGTAGACTTTTACTACACAAAGTTAAACTTTCACATTTTTAGTGGATGGATATGTAGCATTTTGATTTTTAGTGGAGAACCCTTGCACTTTAATTTTTTGAAAGGAAAATAGTACCTTGAGTAAAAAAAATGTGTGTCCCAGCTTGATAAATAAAAATTTACATATTAACAAGAAAAAAATGATTAATAAATAGTGAAGCCTTTTGCCAAATTATACGGTGTAATCTTTAATTTTAAAATGCACTTAGTATGCAGAGGCTCGAAAACAATAAATAGTAGGACAATTTATTTAGATATTCACAATTCTAAGAAAAATGATCGCTGTTGAAATTCGGTTTTACTTTAAAGACTATACCTTCTATTGCATTAAAAATTCATACGCTGTGTTTTTATACTAGCAATCGTGAAAGTACTTCAGAAATAACCCTTTTCCCTCACATACTGCGATTATAACAAATAACTACAAAACTAGGAATGGTTAGACTATTTATAAACATACAACATTCATAAAAAATCGAGAAAATTCTTAGGATGTACTGCTTCGGTTGCACGCAAAGTAAAAAAGTTGCGAATCAAACAACAAAATCCGGTTTTCATCGTTACACTAATATCTGTTAGCTCCCAAGAGATGATGAGCCACGTAACATTTTTGTATCATATTCAATGTAATAAAGTAGACGAGCTCAGCAGGTTTAAATAAGCTGTTGACACATCTGAGATCACAGCTTTCAATTAAAGTCTAATAAAATCAGACGGGAGGTGAAATAATTGCATCAGACATCACTTGTAACTATCACGAGTAGAATTTCATAATTCAAATAGACTTGGTGACAATTAGTAACGTAATCACTTAGATTTTTTTTTTCTTTTTTCATAAAAACATGCATACTTACGTTTAATTGCAAACGATGAGAAAGAAAAAAAATGATCGTCACGCATAAGTGAGCATCAATAACGGTATGGATAAATTATATATAGCCCCATTTATCGGACACATACGCATCTATTTCTCTGGCTTACGTGCAACACATGCGTGCCCGAATCATAATTAAAGTAATATTGCATTCGTGTGCGTTGTGTTTGAAGACACGGACAATTTGCACTGCGGCAAATTAAGTTTGCGTCGTATATTTTCAGCCATTCGAGTGATTTTCGAGCACCCGCTTATTGTAGTGGGTGCGAGTGAAAGGAGCCGTTTGTAAATCGCGTACAAATATACTTTTACGATTTGTACAGACTACTGCTACTGCTTTTTCGTAATCCGTTGCGAGCCAACGTCTCTCTTTCGAACAATTTGTTTTTTCGCGGTTGTAAGCGAAACTTGTGCGGCGCTTGACATTGTTACGCAAAAGAAGTAGGCACCGCGAGATATTTTACCAATTACTCGGGTCATGTAGGTGAATTCTTAGATTTAGTTGTGCTACAGAACAGATTTTAAAGGATCATTTTTTATTTTATTGCTCTCAGTCAGTGTGAATCGGGTTGCAGCCATAATTTTAATCGATAGATCTTGGAAATAAATATTTACGAACGAAATTATTCATACGACAGCATATCTTAAATATCAAAATGACGTGTACACATTATTCTGAATAAAAACATTTGATAAATTTTATCGTACATAAAAATCAAGTTTACTCAAACGTGAATCGAGATCCATTCATCTAAATTTATGAATCAGGTTAAGTGAATAGCGATTAGTGATTCTCGACTCAATGAATTGGAATTTCAGATTCGCTGCCTTGATTTGGTGTATCGTGAAAATGGAGTCGCGGCTCGTGTATTCCCATTCACGAATCGGGTGAAGAAAGTAAGCTTAAAATTTTCAAGTGATTCAAAAATTGTTGGAAATGTTTTCAATAAATATTTGAATTTTCAATCGAAAATAAGCATCCAATCTCTCGATAGCTCCACATGTTCATCCTATTTTTTTTTGCGAATAAAAAAGTTAATTTCATTTGACAGAATGGCATCGTCAATCTGCCGAAACATTTTCGATCGAATGAATTACGTTTCCTCGTATTTACAAACACCAATGATTTCATAATGAAGTTGAAAAAAAAAAATTTAGTTGCCGTAGTCATGAATTCCGAGAAACTAATTTTCCATCTATTCGTCTAATGAAACAGTAATCAAGCAAGACTCGAGATTTCAACAACAGTTTGATCACAATGAAATCAAAATGATTACATATCGAAAAATCAAAGCTTAGATACCAAATAAACTCAAGCCAGAGGACGTGTCACAAAAATTTAAAAATATACGGCCACTAATACTCCCAAACTCAATTCCTGGGTACATCAGATCTATCCCAAGGGGATGCTGTCATTACTCTTCAAGTCATTGAAAAAGTCTATAAAGTCAATTGAAGTCACATGAGGTCTTTAAGAGTCTCTAAAAGTTCAAGAAAGACACTGACAGTCTACTGAAAGATTTCAAAGTTACCTAATTATTTTTTGTGATTTTGAATTCTCCTAATGTCTTAGAAAGACCGTAAGAGATTTCGGGCTTTTTGTCAAAAATTTTACAGCCCCTCGATACATGCATCTATTGTTGACAAACCATCAAATGCGTTTTCACCGCATGCAACGTCCTCGTCTGCGGATGATCCACGTGTATATGAAATAATCAGCAACGCTATTTTCCCAGACGCTTCATTAAAATTCGCATAAAAACTGTAGATACTTTGCGAGTCGCCAATGATCGGTACGCACGTGCGACTGATTATTTCAAGCGGATCGGCCTCGCCAGCGCGCCTTTTGATTCTATGAAATTTCCCTGTTTGCAGTGTGCAAGCATCACTGCTTATCTCTCTAAAAGAAGCGCCGACGATGCTCCATATCTTACGATTACGCGACGAGTGAGAGCTTAATCCGAGAGCGAGAAAAAACGAGAGACGCACGCGCGCACGACAGCATTTTCCTCCGTGACTCTCAGTGGGTACAACGTTGTAGGTATAGCTCTAGATCCATGCCAATTTTTACTCTTTTTCTCCGATTGCGCGCCGTGAGGCTACACAGCGACGCTTCTTGGCGCCGAGTTGGCCCGAGAATGCGACGCTCGGAAAGAAATTCACGCCCGCGACTCGATAGTGTCCGCCCCTTTCCCGCTTTTGCACCGTCCCATGGTGTGCTCTAACGGGATGATCGCTGTGTCCGATGGGAATTTCACGTGGCATACGCTCGAAAAAAAAAAAAACAAAAAAATACTGGGTTGCGCAATTCACATCAACAATTTATTGATGAACCGAATGAAACATTATACTGCCACTAATTTTTAGAATAAATGGAACAATAATTAACGGTTGTTGTAATAGATAAATTATTTTAAAATATAGTTTTAATAGAGCCAAGTAGAGCCAAATAAAGTTGAATCAGCAAAACTTCAAAAATCGTTTGCCCAATCCTGGTGCTTTTGTGGGTGATGATTGTACCAACTTGAAAAATTCTAAGTCACGAGTGTTGTCACTTGCGTGGTTTATTAATCAGTCCGGACTGAGCGACCCAATTCTTTGAATCAAAAAAAATTTCTTTACCCTCATTCCGTTAAATATTTTCTTTTAATTGAAACAAATTTAGTCGATCCAAAAAAACATTTCGTACAACTAAATGAGAAATTCGTAATTAAAAAAAGAAAATTTTAATTTAATAAAACATTATTTTCAATTAACTTATATTTTTTTTACTCGTAAGAAAATATTTAACGGAATGAGGGTAAAGAAATTTTCTTTGATTCAAAGAATTGGATCGCTCAGTGGCACTCGAGTCAAAAGCTACGAAAAGATATTTTTTCCAATTAAAAAAAAAGAAAAAAAATCAAAACAAAAGAGAAAGAAAAATTCATCAGCAACCACGTCCCCCCCCTCTCACTGCATCGCGAGTAGGTATTTGCAATTAATCCAAGCGCACGGACGGCGGTGCGCTCAAGCCAGACGAGAGATCAGGTTTTCCCAGCGCTCCGACGAGGGGAGGCTAGCCTCTCGCACCGGAGCTCCCGACGGTCACATAATTACCGGCGCGTCTCCCAAGCTTGCGGCGCCATCCGCGCGAGGACTAACGAACTCGGACGGCTGTGCATACACACACGCGCAAGTAAGTACCGAAAAGCCGATTTCCCCGAGAAAATTGCTTTTTCACTGCTTTTTCGCCCCCCCCCCCTAAATAGCGCCCCCTGAGAAAGAGACCGATGAAATTATAGCCGACGCTCTCTCGCCAGCTTGGCACGCGGTTTTATAATTAGCCCCGGGAGACGACGACGGGCTCTGCTCCGAGACGCTCTATGTATACGTGTGTTGTACACCGAAGATGACAGCAATAAAGAGCCCGCGACCAAACAATGACTTTTCTCGCGTGGATGTAGTAATGATCGCTACACTCCGACCACGCGTGCGCTCAATTGTTGCTCTCTTTTTTTTTTTTTTTTTTTTTTCACGCTCCGTGCGCGACTGACTTCTCGAATTTCGTTTAATTGGGCCTCGGGTTGCGACGGATAGGTGTGTGTATGCGAGGAAAACAATGGTATACCTAGTGGGTTGGGTGCGTGCATGTGAGTGCATGTTTTTATTTTTATTTTTAATGCACAATGTTCGGTAGATCTTGTCGATTCGTTTCGAAATGATATCGACATGGCGTGGTTATAACGATGAGAAATAAAGATCCAAAGTTTTGGTTGATACGCCGCGTTTGTTGGTAAACACGGTAAGTATTGAATTTGCTCGCACGAGCAGCTATTCGCTAAAAACGCAAAGCATCCCCAAGTCCACTGCCAAGGCGGTTGTCGCCATAAATCGCATCGCAACGGGCATCACGGAATAGTACCGATCATGTGATTAATGGCGCGAGAGAAAGAGAATCGAGAGCTTTCGTATATGATCGTGTATATATATATATATAAAAATTATCGAGGCTGATTCAGAACAAAGAAAGATTACGACGGATGAAAGCGTTTGTTGTTGGTTAGCGGCTAATTTTTCATCGACGGAAAATTCGAGAATCCCCGCTACACGCATCAACAAAGCCGGCGATATCGTGGGGCAAAAAAAAGCGAGTTCAACAAACTTATCGCCGTGTTTGCGTGAGATCGTTCGCCCGTGTTCGTATCGCATACGCATAATGAGCATGAAATACATGCGGCCCGTCTGCGCATTCAAATCCGGGATGTAAGTACTGCGATGCAGCTCTGTTTTTCGCGCGTCAATGTATTCCTAAGCTCGGCGCGGCGCATTTAATCGGAGCAGACCCGCGAACGCGCATTGCAAATCCAATCGGAGTCCATAATGTCAATGCCGGCGCGAGGCGAGCCTCCGGATTGTCGTTTCCCGAGTATTGTTTGTGTGGACTCTTGTTGGCGGCGATTCTGGGATCGAGGAAAAAGTACAGTGCCTCCAGCAACTAAGGAAAATTTATCAGAGGACAAAAACTAAGCGTACTTACACCAAATTTATTGGCTGTTTTGATGTATTGTGCACCTACCATGGTGTCGGAGTGACTGGAGTCGCAAAATTTTATTTGTGTCGGTCGAGGTGCGGAGAGCTATGTTTTGTCTTTGAAAGTGACATTGGCTAGTATACTTAGTACAAAGCACCGACTGGAATGAATGAGTCTATCCGTAAAACGTGGGTAGAGGTTGGAAATGCACTATTTGCTTGTTTACCCCAACGAAAAAAAAAAAAAAAAAAAAAAAAAGATTGTCAAGAGTTTATTGGGTGACTAGAATCTTTTAGTGAGTTTTTTTAGAGCTTTTTTTTCAATTTCTAAAGTGTTAAATATACCCTGTACATTAGTATGTAAAAAAAGAGTAAATTATTAAAATAGAGAACACGTATTACCACTGTGATGATGAATATTTCAAACCCATTTTACGATACATAAATACTATAAAACCCATTGAAGGACTCATTTTACCTAACATAACAAATTGAATTTACTAAGAATAATAATGAATACACAACGATTCACTCTTAAACTAAATTAAAATTCATTATGAGTCGATTTACAATCCAAAGAATAGATTATCTTGAATTTAAAAAAGAATTTATTTAAAAATTGATTATATCTGATTTTCTACGCCTTCTGGATTGATTTTCTATTTATAGAATATTTTTTGTAGCACTTACTGGCATGACAAGCATTTTTATCTATTTTTGTTTTATAAATAGTTAGTTGATTAACATAAGTTACTGTACGAACACACAGCTTATTCTCTACGTATGAAATTTTAATCACGAAAATAACATTTAGATTGTTCTTGGTGCAAGCATCTTCCTACTTATACACAGAAGTAAGTAAATATAACCGTTACTATTGCACAACATGTTTGTTGGTATGACAAAAGATTGGTCGAAACGATACGGAAGAAGCAAGATTCTGGTAATCAATTTTGCGGCATCTGTTTTGTGACCGTCATCGCTCGGTGCACACATTATTAGAAGTGATCGTTTTTAAATTTATTTGCTTCAAAGTGAACGGCTTCTCAGTATTGTCGATGTTCACAGTTTTGCTTTCAAATTGTTTTTGTTATCCCCATCGTACGTACGCGTAAATAAAATGTTTCCAATAAATTATTGTTCTTCTGAATATGAGAAATATTTATCAGTTTTTTGAAATTTAAATCGCACTAATAAGTTAGTCTCAAGAAAAAATTGGTGACCTTCAGTCGTTTTAAACTGTTGAATTTAACAATCCGTTGTTACAGTATTTATTGCTAATTTACGTAAATTTGCTAATTTTTTAATCAATCTATACCTAATTTTAGTTATATCATTACAAAAAGCATAAAAATAACAAATGAGTTTTTTTTACATTTTCGACACACGAATTTTTTTTCACAGCAACTTGAGGTGTAAGATTTTCGACGCTTGTTCCTGTGCTACATAAGTTGAAAGAAATTAAAACGGCTGCTAAGTAATGACCATACCAATCTTTGGTAAAATCTCAATGAAATCTGATGACTCAAACCAACTTGATTACTAACTCCTGAAAAAGAGCCATTGTGACGTTTACAAAGACCCTTACTCCTTTGACAAAATTACGCGTTACATAAATTATTCATTGAAAGAAATGCATCGTCGTTGAATCAAAACGATCAGCTAAACGAAACAGTATAAGTATTCTAATTAATCAACGATTTTCCTTGGTTGATTACTCAAAATCGATAGTAATCAATGAACGAACAAAGTGTTTCCAACTAACTTCCGTAAAAATAAATTATTTATACTTTTTCTTTGCGCAATTCTTTGAAAAAAAAAAAAAAAAAGAAAGAATCAACTCATCATTAATAAAAGAAACTGTTTGCTTCTTATGTTGCAGATAATATCACAAATACAAGAGAAAAAAAATAAACAAAAACCAAACTCGTCCTTTATCACAAGCGCCTAATTTCAACGTCCTGCATCACCAGGCGGTGTAATGAAGAATTTGCCAATCAACGAACATGGTATGTGCAAACTTTGAATCATCTACACAAAAAAAAAAAAAAAAAAAAAAAAATATCCGCATAACATTCGCGCGCGTCATATATACCTGCTTACACTCTCACGCGACGTCGCGAATACCCGCTCGACTGAGTCCTTCGGAGCGAAAAACTGAGGCTACAAAAACGTCGGCCGAAAGTTTATGTACACCGTAAAATGTAAAAAGGAAAAGAGCTTCCCATCAACGAGGCCTTAGCCTACAATTGTTGGCAATGTGGCAGACAGGCCTCGCTCGATCGCTATGAGAAAAGGAAAAAAAAAAAAAGATATACTTTATACATATACCTTCTCGTCTATAAGGACGCGCAGCACTAACGAGCCATTGGTATTTACAATAAACACGCGCGATCCTTAACAGTTGGCGGCTAGAGAGAGTCGAAAAACGATCCCCTCCAAGTGAACCAGCGCATATAAGTATACGCAATAGTCACTTTTTGCGACGTACCCATACGTAAGTATACTCGACGTCGCGCCGATATCTCGAAGGCTGCTTCCGATCGTCTCAAGGCCCTTTCCCCTTTGCCTGATGCATAAATCGCCGGCACACGAGCGCGTACTTAAAGACATTCGACTCGTTTCGCGACTAACGTCCGGTCGCGCGTCGACACTCGATCGGCTCCGTTGTCGCTCGTTTTTCCCCTTCGGGGGGGTGCCTTAGGATGGTTGTTTTAAGCGACGACGGAGACTCATCGTTGATAAAAGCGTTACAGTCGTTTATTTTTAATCCATGGTATGTAAGACCACGCACCACATAATATTATATGCAGTGGACGACGCAAAAATCGGTAATTTTTTTGTTTTCCTCGTCAGGCTCGCCGACTGATTCTGTTGGCTAAATGGTCGCGGCGTTTATTGCTTTTTCCTTTCGGTCGGCAAAACAACGTTAATTGGGATGTGTCTTTTGGACGATTAACGCGCGGTGCTCTTGTATCCGAGTGCGCTGTATATACGTGTGGCTATTATTTGGAATTACTAGTTGTATCTTGATGATGGCGAGACATAACGTGACTGTTTTTGAAGAACCAATTCAATGCTTTTTCAGGCAGTTTTATGTACAAGACTGCAAGTAGGTACCGTCATATCTTATTAAAAAATAGTTCAAAACGAAAATTTAGTAAAAGCACTCGAATAACTGAATTTACTTCGTTTCCTGGCGAGAATTCAATCTTGAGATACACTGATGGACAAATTACCGTAACATTACTCGTAAAAATTACCGAACATCTCGTAAGGAAAGTTTTTATTTCTGGTTTCATTGCCGAGCCCACACCAAGTTTTACCGTGCAGTAATCGGTAAAAGTCGCCATCTGTACAATTAAATTTTTCCTCACTTAAACTTATACATTGTTATAGAAATTTTCGCATGAAACATTACACAAGTCATGTTCTTCAAAATGTCCATTTTGCTTCGTACTATTTACAAAATTCCAGAATGTTGTGTAGTTTGGGTATAAAAAATTATGTTTGCAATAAAAGTGATGATTCTTGCTGTGCTATGCATGGTAAAGTTTAGTGAGGACTCGGTAACGAGGTCAGAAACAATGACCATGTCCTACGGTCAACAAACTACACTGTAATTTTCATCAGCTCTGTCACGCTTTAATTCGTGCCATTTTTCTCCTAGTACACGGTGAACATTCTTATTGTGTACAAGTATGTTTTTTTGTAGCTTCTGTATTTCAATAGGATAAAAGCTAATTAAATGTTGTATGAACGTATTCTTCGAGCCGGTAGTATATTGTATGCCCACAAAAAAGGCATAAACGTCGAATAATGCGAAAGAAAGCATACAAGTAGAAATTGCATCTACATATATTTGATGCACACAAGTGTACCCACTTGCTATGGTAGAGTTTGAGAATGTACCTATACACCGACCAGCAAACGCACTAATTTGATCTTATAAAGGTATTACATCCAATTACTTATTATCTCCGTACTCATTATCATAATCTACTATCACTATCTGCCACGTCAAACTATGCACTCTCCATACAATATATTAATTCAGTTATCATGAAATGTTTTACTGCATAGCACACAAGTACGTTAAATCTTGATAGACATTACAATATGTATATACCCTTGATGAATGGTAGGAGAACTCGTTGTCGTGCCTTTCGCTGACATCAACGTGTGTGTCGTAAATAGTACATTCTTGTGTATATCAAACGGTTCGATCCATCGAGCCGAAAGTGTTGTCAGTTAATTGCACTCACGCTCAGTTTAGTCGAGCACGTGTTAATTAAAATAATTAATTTTTTCTTATCTCATACAATTGCAGTAAATTGAAGATATTAGCATGAAAATTTTTATGGGGAAATCAATGAATACATTACACGCTGCGATACCCATAACGCGACTTGTGGGGATAATTGCTTTAGAATTTTATTGAGAGTTATATTACGTGCTTTTATTACAATTCTTCGGATAAATTTAGCGATACGTTTAACACGAATGATTTGAAGTGAAGTTTAATTTTTTTTAGATAAACTTTGAGTGTCGAAGTGGCTTTTATTTTGAAAAACTTTCATTTGTAAAAAAAACCAAGCCACAACATCAAAGTAAATGAATAATTTAATAGCAAAAAAGTAATAGCCGACTGGTATCCTATTACATATACAAGTATAATAATTTTATTCCAATGCATCTTATCTAAATTAAACTAAGACGTAAACTTGATGCAAAATGATACATCTAAATACATTTATCTGATGTGTTTAAGTGAACATAATAACGTAAGGTTGAAAAAACTATCATCTCAACAAGCCATTCTACTTTTTTTTACCTTGAAAACAGACTGTGCAAATACTTAGTTCATAGAAGTTTTTCTTTACGATAGCATTAGCTACATTAAAATGTATTTATCAAGAATTTCATTATCTAATGGTTGGAAATTAGTTGATTCATAGAATTTCTCGCGAGATCACAATCAATGAAATAGCTACTACTGAATGTAATATAAATAACATCGCATAATGAATTTATTTAAGAACACTTACTTGGAAAAATAAATTTCATGTGGATGAAAATAAAGCACTTTTGGTTTGTTATAGCTGTGTCATCTTCTTTTATGTACTCCATAATTTAATAAACAGTTGACACACTGTTGTGAGAGAGTATTTTTAATAATACAAGTTTTCGTAAAAAATTTTCTTGAGAAACTTTGAAAGATATTCAGATTACTTTAGTAAAAATAAATCGACAATTGTTATTCATCAGCATAATTAAATACCTTAACTACGAAATAAACAAACAAAAATTTTAACTGGGATTGAGAATTTCCTAATGGTTTTATTGTTGTCAGTATAGTCGATCATTTATTACGTGTTTTAAATTTTATTAAATATAATAATACATAGTTGAGTTTCAACTGTTAATTTAAAAAATGACTTATCAAAGAGAAGGATTGGTTCTCAGTGGATACAAAAATAGTCTCGGTGAAAATCACGGAGGTCAATCGACTTCTCATTTCTGGATCTTGTTGTAGAATTAATTACTTGATCATGTTTTTTTGAAATAAAAACTGAAAATAAAGTATACCCAACTCTACTTTTAAATGAGGATTTTACGACACTATTTTATAATCTTGAAAAAAAAAAAAAAAAAAAAAAAAAAAAAAAGAAGATAACTATACGAAATTGGAATTCCATGCTCGTGCTACTCTAGACATGAATATTCAATGAATTTTCATTCACTCGATTCAGCATTGGTAACCGAGCCTGGATTACCATTACTATCACAAAGCACGTTTTTACACTTTGTTAAAAAAACTCTATTACCTCACTGCAACATTAGAATGATTATCGTAACTCAAACAAGTACTGGCGTAAATAGTATTTGTGCAAAAAAGATTTCGTGCATACTGTTCCACGCATAAATGGGGGTGGAGTGTAAAAAAAAAGGAAAAAAAAAAAAAGAAATAAAATTGTTGAAATTGCAGAGTTGAACGGTAAGCAACACCACATAGTCAACGGCAAAGATGCCGAGGCTGCGGGTGGCGGTAACAATTTAATCATCAACAAAAAGCACATGAATGGAAAATGCAATAATGGCAGCAGCATCGACGCGATCCAGCGCTCAATGGGCGACCTCGGACGCTGGCAGATCTTCGTCTGCACGGCCATATCGTTGGTCAAGTTCCCGGTTGCCTGGCACCAGCTGGCCATCGTCTTCATGGCACCCAAACAGGAGTTTAGTTGCACAGCACCGGGACGTGGCAACGGGACGGACCAGTGCCACGCGATGGTCAATGGAAATGTCGTCGACTGCACGGAGTGGGAGTTCAACAGGACAGTTTTTCCCGAGACGATAATATCACAGGTTAGTTAGGTTGACAAGGCGTGTGTTTGTTTGCTCTTATATGCATGCAATTCGATTTTTGTACTATAATGGGTGGTATACATTCTAATTACAAAAGTTTTTGTGTACACCGAAGAACGATGGGCAAAAAAGTAGAGACATAAGCCAAGTGAAGAGTTAATTACTGAAAAATATGACTGGATCGTGATGATGGGCTTCATAATCTATGTTGCAACGGAGAGGCGATAAAATCGCTCGAGAGTCATTATACTGAAGTTCAAGTTTGCGCGAGGCCGGTCGTACATTTTTCGAGATACCTAATTCAGATAGACATCTTGCATTTGTTTAAAAATACATCGAATTAGATAACAATTCATCGTCATTATGCTTTGGACTTGGTTGGGTTTATCTCGAAATTTTTTGGAACTCGCATTGTATTGTGCTATACTTGAAGTAAAAAAAAAGTACTGTCAAGACGTATGTAATTCGTACTTAATTCGACGTAACACCGGTTTTCCATCAAAAGAGCGATGAAAATAAAAAAAAAAAATATTCTAACGTGCAATCAACATTCTCTTTTTTATACGACACAAAAAAAAAAAAAAAAAAAAAAAAAAAAAAAAAAAAAAAAAAAGGTTGAGTAACATTATTATTTTTTACTCACTCGCTTGATGTTTGTTTTGTTTTTTAGTGGAACCTCGTGTGCTCGCGCTCAAACTACGCTGATCTCCAACAGTCCATTCTCATGTTTGGCATTTTGCTTGGTAGCATATCCTTCGGCTTTTTGTCCGATAGGCAAGTTTATTCATAATTTTATCATCAGTTGAAGCATACCGCACCATAATACGTGACGGAACGTAAAAAAACTCTGCTAATACTCGTACACATTGATATAAAGTAAGAGTGCACTGATTCACATTAATGTACGGTAATTATTCCGATTCTTTGATCCTCCGTGCATGCCTCGTCCCTCGATGGAGTTCATCAATCTGAATTCCTCGGGAAAAACATCACGTCGACGCGTCAAAAAATCAAAGCGAAAAATCGTCGCACTCGCACTTTTGCGCGATAACATCGTGCGCATGACGATTGCCATTTTTATGTCCGCAGGTTCGGCCGAAAGCCCCCCCTAATGTTCTCGATCGTGCTCCAACTGGTATCTGGCATCGGCTGCGCCGTCGTCCCGTGGTTTCCGGCTCTATTGTTCCTGAAATTTTTGAGCGCCGTCGCGACAGGCGGTACAATGGTCACCAGTTACGTAATATGTAAGTTTCCCCCGAGATTCGCATCTTTGACTTTGAACTCATCACGATTCACTGCAATCTCCCATCTCTCTTATATCTTTTCCTCTCATTGTTAACGCTCATTTTTTGTGCAAGCGTTAAAAAAAAACTCATTCGTCATGCGTTATGCTGCGATTGTAATGACAACTTTGTCATTACTGGATGTTATAAAGGAAAATTGGCATTCTCCGGAGATGCGTGGTCAAATCATTTACAGCAGAAAATTTGAAACACCATGTATAGAGTATATAGGGTGTACCAAAACGAAAGAGCAACAAACTTCATTTGCACACGCTCAATTGAATCGCATGTTATTTCAACACCGTGATGATTGCTCATATTCGCTTGGCACAGGTATGGAGATAGTCGGGAAAAGTTGGCGAGCCGCTATAACCATCCTGTACCAAATCCCGTACAGTCTGGGCCACATGTCGCTGGCCGGTCTGGCTTACTGGTTCAGGCACTGGCAGCACCTGCAGATCGCCATGACCCTACCTTCCATCGTGTTGCTGGGCTACTGGTGGGTCGTGCCCGAGTCGCCCAGGTGGCTCATCGCCATGGGCAAGCAAAGGGCAGCCTGCAAAGTCATACGCAAGGCTGCCAAGATCAATAAACTGGGCGAGCAAGACGTGCAAGAGATCGTTAGGAAGCATTGCTTGCATCAGGTATTTATAAATGAAGAAAAAAAAAAACCTCCCTTTTACTGTACAACCGATGAAAATTTATCGTCTTATCACAGAACTCCAAAAGGACAGAGACCGACGGTAGGGCTTCGTTCATGGATTTGTTCCGTACGCCCAATATGAGAGTGAAGTCGCTGTCGATTTTCTTCAATTGGATCGTTTGCGGTATGGGTCTGTTCGGGATGACTCAGTACATAGGCCACGTGGAAGGTGACATTTTCTTGAATTTCGCGCTGTCCGGCATACTGCAAGTCCCGGGAAATTTTCTTGCCTGGTACACCATGAACGCGTACGGCAGGCGAGTCACGCTCATCGGGAGCAACACGTTGACCGGCGTCGCGGCAATTTTTTTGATATTCGTCGACAAAGGTCGGTACAAAGTAAGCGCCACGTCGGAACCTTTTGCCTCAACGTAAATTTTTTTTTTTGCCGTTGCAGAATACGATTGGCTCAAGTTGTTGTTCGCCTGCTGCGGCATCGTAGGTATGTCAGTTTCGTTCACAACTGTCTACCTGTACTCCGGGGAACTGTTTCCCACCGTGATACGGAACATTGGAGTGGGAACCAGTAGCATGTGCGCGAGGATAGGATCCATGCTGGCGCCTTTTGTAGTCTCACTGGTAAATTACATCATTCTTTCATTGCAGTGCCACACAAACGATTGATGGTTGAATCTATCATTATCGTATGGATATCACAATTGCTTGTTAATATTGTTAATGTTTGTTTATGTAGGGGAGCTACAAATTGTGGTTGCCGCCACTTATTTTTGGAATACTGCCGCTGTGTGGGGCTCTTTTGTGCTTTTTACTTCCGGAAACTGTTGGCTGTGAGCTCCCAGAGACTTTGGAAGATGGAGAGAATTTCGGAAAGTAAGTATAGTTATTATACTTCATCTGAATGTATCGAAATGTTATATGATTTCACATACTTAACTACGAATTGACAATGTTTTGTTGCAGATCGGAGAAGTTATTAGCTAAGAGCAAGGAGCAGAGCGAAATCGAAATGACCCTGTGAAGGCGAAGAAACTGAATTCCATAGCAAAAAAGTGCCTTTTGACATGTTTCGAAAAACCAAGGGACGATGTCAGAGCTTCGCTTTAGCGATAAAACAAAAAGTTTTGCAATTTTTTTTATACTTATTTATTGCATTGTCAAATAATACAAAAAGTATTCGATCTGTTGTCGAACTTGCCAATTATTGTACTTTTTATGTATGATGTTTGCAACTGTAGGGAACTCGTGCGTTCGTAATGTGCACCACGTAGAATTTTCATCTTCAGCCATTGTTAAATGTTTCTAAGGTATTTTAAGTTAAGAAATTGTTCTTCGAGTTATTCATGTGCGTAATTGTTGAATACATTTTTAATGAAGATGGAAATTTAAAAATTAATATAAAAGTAGGAAGTGATGCAATTACAATCTGCAACATACTCAATAAATGTTTTTTAGTTATTGTAACGAAAGATGTATATTTGAAGATTTTTATGAATTTCTAAATATAAAATATTTTTGAACTTTCACTGACATTTCCTTCCTGTTAATTATATATTTTCTTTAAAATGTTATCTCACATCACTAAAGTAGATTCTGTTTGTAACTTGAAAAAACAGTGTAGATCAGTAAGTTACCTACAGCTCTTGATATTAAACTTATCTTGTCAGTAGCGAGATGCCGCTAGCCACATGAAAATGCAAGAGATTGTCTTAGAATTGAAATATTTTTGACATAATCAATTAGAATTTATTTCATTCTAACGTATACACTATAAAACTTTGTTAAATAGTAATTGAATTTTTTAAAGTACAAACAGTTTTTTTTTCAACTATTATACGTGGATCTCTTTGTTCATCATTCATTTTAAACTAGAAAACTAATTAATTTACCTATTTATCCTTTTATAGATTCTAACATCCTCGCTTATACCTAAAATTTATTTAAAAATTTGTCTTTACATTAATATACAAAAAAAATATTCCACAACTAAATTCAACAATATCTACTTTTATGTTAACATTAAAAAAAAGGATTCTTAGCCACACGTTATGCTTCTACACATATCTTATCAGTTCTTGTTTCAATTTTTCTTATTTGTCCCTATTTTCGAGGTATTTTATAAATTCAAGTACTGTCTGGGTATAATGCATTTTTCAGGAAGCTTAAACAGAGCTTTCGCCTCCTGCAAAGGATTAGGTGTTAATATTTAAATCTAAGGCGGGCTGTTGGTGCAATTTTCATAGCGCATTCGAGTGAAACAATCCTCACGAGGCACGGAAAGCATTCGGCTTGATCGAAGACTTACATATTAATGAGCCAACAAGCTCTTCTCGTCCTGAGCACTTCCTTCGTTTCGCGATTCTATTCCACTGGTACAATTGCATGTTTATGCTACCGAATGAAGTAGTTTGGGAGCACTGCGATGCGAATTTCGTAAATAGACTGAACAAACACTCGGATTTATTTGATGTAATTGCAAACGAAAAAAAAATTTTTTTTTTAATTAATCAATCTTGACAACGTTTTACGTTATCATCTAAGAAAAAAATATTTGATTGTTTGAAAGTATTTTGGACGTATGGAATAAACAGTTTTGTACTATTAATTTGACTTGTATATGAATTACATGTACGTTATATTTCGCTGGCAAAGGCGTGTAACTATACTGATCAGCTACAATGTAGTTCTTTGTTTCGTACGAATCTCAAAACTTTATAACTATACATGAGTGATATCAATCTTCAAGCAGGTGTATATACATAACACAAAACGCTGATTGCAACATTCAATGTATGAGTAGGGGAGTAATTTGCAAACACGCTTTTATATAAATTACCGCACGGGTACGTGCAAGAAAGTGATAGTACAATTTCTCATTGTAAAAGCAAGGCATTTTTTAATGTATCTTATACAAAAAAAATCAAAACTTTTGAGATAATTTTTAATTGCTTTTATTTATTTATTTTACAACTAAATTTGGCCAGTGTTATGAGATTGTATAATGGTATTGGAAAACTGATGAAAAATTTTTTTTTTGTAACTTATTGTAAGCGAGCGAGATAGAATTAATAAAAGTACTCACGAGTACAACACACCATAAGCTTACAAGTATAATCAAACTAATTACTAATACCGGTTTCTCGGTTAATTTCACGTCTCCAAATTTTAATAGCTTATTCTTGGAGGTTTTTTCTTTACTTAGAAATACATTTTATCCGATTCTCCTTGTTGATTCTGCAACCAATAGAACTACCTGCAAAAAAAATTGTTTTCGTTTCATTTGCGACATTCATACATCAAAATAATATATTTATGTTCATTGCATAATACGTTTCAAAATGAATTCAAGTATTTTGTTTTTTTTACATTATTCATAAGAAGTCAAAATCAAAACGGTTTACTATTTTAAGAGTATCAATCAACATGGCAAAAAAATTGATACGTTGATATTAGTTATAAGATTTATTTTTTGTGTTTAGGTTTGCTGGACTAAAAAAACCATGGCCAGTATTAGTTACCTCAGCTAATTAGTCCTACAAGGGGTTAATTGCGTGATTTGAGTTGGCCACGAAGTGTGAGATGCGTATAGTTTTCTGATTGTTGTCTCGTCAATGGTGATGGAATTAGATAGGAAGTAGAGCTAACGTCCGTAATGATAATTTCCTGACTCACTTATTTAAATATTATTTTGTCTAAGGATCCGGATTTGTGGTATGTTTCTGGCATATAGTTCAACCATGTCAAGAGCTTACATTTCCGATACTTTTCATTTATTAGCTCAATGTTCACCTCTCTTAAAATCGTAAATTGCGGAAAAAGGGTATAAATGATGATGATCTAATTTATTTTATCCTAAAAGAATGTACTGATTAACGCACCCGTGGTGACCATTGTTCAACAGAGTCCGAATTGCTCGAGGCCATAATTAGTAACTTTGCTTTGTAACCCAGCACCATAGTTGCCACCTGATTTAGCTTACTATTATCAAACTTTTTTATGGTAGTTACGTGACTCGAACTTCATTTATTCGACCAGTGCAAACCTTCGACCTTCAAATCACGTGTTATGTAGTTATTCTTGTGTTTTTTCAGCGACCTCTCTAATGATCGTTTTAATTTCCTTTTCGTTACAGCCATGGGTTGGGGGTCAAGGACATTCTAGCTTATTCTAGGTTTTCTTGATCACACATACTATCCGGTTGTCCCGATTGAAATTCATTACATTAATCTTTACCGATTTGATTTTATTAATATTGATCCACTGGGCAATGAAAGGCTTCCTTAATAAATAGCAAGAAAATAAGTCTCGAGTTGACCTGTTTGACCACGTTGTGCCGTAGGTGCTTTTATTGTCTCATCTGTACTTTACAATTTCAATTGTACTGAATTTTTTTTTTTTAAATGACATACATTTTTATTTCTCAAATTTGCGCTTCGATTTTTTTTTTTTTTGAGTAAAGTTTTATGGGTATCTGTTTTATCTGATTGGACCCAATTAACTACCAAGTACTTTTCGTAATGTTATCTAACGTTTGACGAATGACAAAACAACATACATTAAGCAAGAAAATAATCATAACCATAGAAAAGAAAAATTAGACAATGTACAACGTACAACCATTTAGAAGCTGATTTGAATTGCAAGGTGTAGCTGGAAACCGAAAGCCCTGATACGCATCAAAATAAAACCGAAACCCCAAACAAAGATCGGGCTCGTGATAACACCCCGCCGTGACCAAAATATACCGATCGGAAAGCCCAAACAAAAAGTGTTCATGTCAAATGTATACGAGACTATCAACCAACCTCGCTTAGATCATTGACACGCGGACGTGCCACTGTTATAGCCCATGTTGGTATACAATGCAAAAAAAAAATCGGCAAGTGTCTATGGGGACCGAGTCTACGGCCGAGCAAATACCCACACCCTGCAGACATTCATATGCGCACACAGACACGTCCGTCTCTATTCCAGTACAGCTCGGGCATGAATTATTCAATTGATCGTCGGATGCAAAACGGCAATCGTTGCGGGAAGGTTTACGCGTACACACACGTATACGCCCAACAACACGGATACGACGTATATAAACGTTGGCGCCTCCGACTCCCCGAGTCTCTCGGGCGTATATAATATACAGGGAGTCGCGTTGGGAGAGCAAACGAAATCGAGTTCGCGTACATTCCGCCCATTGAAACACGGGCTTCTCCATCTATAATGTGCGGACCTAAACGACCAGGTGGCCGATCTCTGGATTCAGCCCTTTAATGCAAAGAGGCGCTTTTGGTCCCGAATCAGGTTACGCCGGAGTGCGTGTATACGTCAGAGTTTGTGCGCCTCGTCGTTTCGGTCTCTGGGCACTGGCGCGTGCAAGTGTATACGGTTGGTGTGGGTAAGCGTTAGTGAGCGCGAATCGCGGATCCGTACGTGATGTAAGAGATACACGTATATATACCCACGCACGGCGCGTAAGGCCCCGCGACTATAAAGTCGAGGCTTGGCGAACTATAGCCTCCATTCCGAGTATTACCGTTCTCCAGGAGGCTCGGCTCCGTGCACTCTCTTTTAACCCGCACGTGTGCCCCTTTGCCTTCACTGAAATTCTCGCTCTTTCGATTCGTGTGTGCACCAGTGAGTATTTATCACGCGCAGCCTCTTTAAATTCCTCGATCGCGTAAAAGAATACCTTACCTTCCCCCCACGGGCCATACCGGTTGTATTTGTTTTCGGTGGTGGTGGTGGTGGTGCGGCTGTGGCGAGAAGGGAAAAGAGTGTTGAGTTACCGGCCCATTTGTCGCTGAGCCCATTGCAAGGAGGAAGGGAATCGCAAATGAGAGGGAGGGGGATAAAAAAGGCGCGAGGTTGTCGAGATGCGTGAAATTTCTCAAACGAGCGGCTATACGTGTATGCGAATACAGTGCTTTTCGCTGTGGATTGTCGGTTTGGAGACTTTTAGTTACGTCGAGTTGGAAACGAGTTCTCCTTCAATTCATCCTGCCGATTCGGAATTTCTTCGCATTGTCATTACAAAGCAGCCTTTTTTGAATCCAATATCAAATATCTAAGCCTTTTTTTTTACATCGTACGTATTGTTAATGTTCTTCGCTCTGTACTGAGAAAGAAGGCTTCAGATATATCATGGTCCTTTTTTTTAGATCACACGTACTATTAATTTACAACAGATATATAGACTTTATCGAAAGTCGTTCAAACGCAAAGGTTCCATGACCTCGTACCCAACATGGAGCACCGATACTTATGCATTATTTATAATTGGAGAGTTCATTAGAAGTTTATTACATTGAACGCAACCGGAGGGGTAATTTTGGCGCTTGTAACACCGGGTAAATTAAAAAATTAAACCTCTCCGCGTTGCGTCTGTAAAAAATATAATGGCACCCTCATTGTCAGACCAATTACAGTGCAAAAATAAAAATAAATTGCCACTGCGTGTATTTCCAACGAATCGCAACAGCCTCGCGAATGGGTCGCACACATCGTGTTATTATCAAAGATTTTGGCAAATGGACGCAAAGGACAGCCGGATAAATGCACGGCTGTTAAATTAATAGCGGAGTAAAATCTGGCACAATGGCACTTTGTTGCTTCGAAAGGCAATACCCCGTCGCGAAATCGCCGAGTAATTCCTCCTCCTCGTGGGTACATTTTTTATTCCCGCGCGAACATTATCGAGAACCGGTTTCCACAATTACGCACGGCTCTTTTATACACGACGGACAACTCGTGAAAAAAAAAAAAAAAAAAAAATCGTATTTTCAAGCGGTGCTGAACGCATCCCGTGTGGTGGACGGGCTTCTTTGCATCGAGATAAATCACGCGGAGCCAATAAATTAGCTAATGCTAATTTCCCTCACCTCGGGCGATTCTTCGGAACCAATTAATAGCCCCGAAGTACAATACGAGATTGCGAGGATCTTGATAAACCGTAATTGTGCAGGTGATCGTTTGCAGATACGGCGAAAAACTAACTTTCTTCGTATACGCCAGTCATGCGTGTGTGTAATCTACGATGAAGATATATACGCCGGTCAGTTGCGAAATCGCGATTCTCGCTAAAAGCGATGCATCTCTTGCCTTAGGCATCGATGCGCGAAACCTAGTGTTGCACAATGACCCAATTGATCGCACACGTACGCATTTGCCGATCCGTAACAACAATTGACGCTCGAGCTTGGAAGTTTCAGTTTCCGCGAATGTTGCAGATGATGCGGCGGATAATACTCGCGTTGGCCCTTCTGACAGCGGTGAGCTGTCACCCGCCCGAGGTGCAGTACTCCTGGGACAAGCTCGACTACAACTTCCCGAACGAGTCCATGAGAGCGGCGTATCTCGCGTCCGGGGATTTCGTGCAGAAGGACAACCTTCCGCTGGGCGTCAGCGTGTGGAGGGACAAAATGTTCATTACGGTGCCCAGGTGGAAAAAGGGCGTGCCGGCCAACTTGAATTACATCTCCATGTCCTCGGCCACTGGTAAGGTGACATTTTTCCTTTTTTGCTCTCACGTGTCGCCAATTAAACGAGAATTTCGAACTTTGTTGGGCGCGTCAACGAGGACAGACAAGTCCCCGAAACTAACGCCCTACCCGAGCTGGGACGCAAACGACCTTCACTCGAGCAGCGACGACGTTATTATCAGCATCTTTCGCACGAGGGTCGACGCCTGTGATCGACTTTGGGGCGTTGACACCGGCATCGATGACATACTTGGTGAAACCAAGGCGGTCCGGACGCCAAGGATCATTGTTATCGATCTTAAGACTGACCAGGTGATTTTTCCATCCTTTTTGTTTTATGTGTTAACTATAGCTCTAGCATGGATATAAAAATTTACGTAACACTCGTTGAACAGATAACAGACAGTAAAGGAAACTAATTTGAATGGAATCGTTACAAAGTTTCTAAGATTTTATCATTGTCAGAATAAAACATCACTTATAGTTTTCATAATTTGAGGTAGAATTGTGCCAATGAATTTATATGGAATGTATAAAACGGATTATGGTTTTTCTTGTAAATCCAAAACGAAAATAATCTTCATTTACCACGTGAACTTATTGTATATTGTCTACGATGCAATGAAGTTGATTATTAAAATTTAGCGTTAACTACCGAGTAATCAATTTTAATGTCGAGCAATAAAGCACGAGTAGTCGGAAGCGCCACAATGGTAAATGACAGATTAAAAATTGACTACCAAGCTTATACCTATTATATACTCGAAGAGCTCATAAAATTAATAATCTTTGAGCGGGACAAAAAGAGAAAAAAAGGAAAGATCGACGTGTTACTTTGATCGATAACATCTGAAAAAATTTGAGATGAAACTGCACACACTTGCGCTCGACCTTAGTTAAAAAATGATAAATGAAGCTGATGCTCGGTCGAGTGTACCTATATAGGAAAGAGAGGCTCTCGCGCGTGAGGATACATGGTATTGACGACGCAGTAGGAGCCCCCTAACGACGCAAAGATTCATGTTTCTGCCCTCAGATAATTCGTAGCTACACCTTAAAAGATTCGGATCAGAAGGCCGACTCGTTTTTCGCCGACCTCGCCATCGACGTGGACAAAGACGCCTGCGACGACGCCCACGCATACTTATCTGATCTCGGCGGCTTCGGCCTCGTCGTTTACAGCTGGGCGCAGAATAATTCCTGGAGATTCCATCACAATTACTTCCACTTTGATCCTCTCAACGGTGAGGGCTGATTTTGGTCTCGCTTGGGTTATTTCATGGTCATGCGATACCTGCCTCCACACCTTTTCCCATATATACATATATTCCCGCAGCTCGGGCGAATCCGACACGCGAAACAACAGATTTTTCTCTGCGTGGCTTTTTTGAAACAAAACAAAAAATACGCCCTTTATCACCTGCATGCGGGTAGAATAATGCCCTTGTCTTCTTTATGTGGACGCATACGTGTGTGTGCAATATTTATTCCGCGGTATCGGTGTTCGGAAAGCGTGTGTTCATTGATTGCCATCTTGTACATGGAGATATATTTACAATGGGGGTGTTTGTAGACTTGAAATCGCGATGAACATAATTTTGAGGAGATTGAGATGCACGTGTATGATATTTTTTTCAAATGAGATAAATTTTAACGCTTTTTAAATTAAACTAAATTGAACGTTTTTTTGAATCAAGTTTTTTCTCGTGTATTGTTATTTTTTCTACCTGTGCCTATTGAATGAATTTAAAACAAATGAAATATTAAGTAGGTATTAATGCATGAATATTTGTGGAAAGACGAAAAATTAAACTAGAGAAAAATGGTATAAAAGGTTAGAACGCAGACGAATGACTGAATTAGAATCTGATATCGAGTGATCGCTTCGTTGAATTATTTACAATAATATCTTGGTTCAAAAAGTTTTATTGAATTTCGAAGAGAAATTTGAGAAATAGCCAGAGTATGTTAAGAAAAATGAGATGCGCCAATAATTACGGTGAATTAAGAAGGTTGGAGATATTTACTAGAATTTCAGTAATCGTGGCTTAAAAATATCAATCAAGGAACAGAGATAACAAGAATAAAAATAAAGAACAGGAATAACAATAGAATAAAAAAGCAAACAATGTGGAGAAAACTGAAAATAATAAAATAATACATAAAAATCGTAATACCTAAAAAAAAAAAGCTTATAAATTGAAAATCGCGAATACCTGTTACTTTTTATCCAAATCAAAACTGGACCGAAAAGTTGTAAAGTATAAAAAAATCTTTCGTATTTTCTGCGAGCTAAAATTTTAATTGAAGCAATTGATTGATTCAAAGCATCCAGAACCATACGGTAATAAAAATTGAACGCCCATTTTGATTCCCGAGTCCTCGATGAATTGGTCTGGCACACACGAGGTACATTGTCCAAGAATAGTTAATAAAATTTCCTCGCAGTAACAAGGCACAAGCAATTACCGACATTGTTTCAAAAACTTTCTCCCATTGAAAAGAATACAGGTGTACACGGCGCGTCTCTCACTTTTGTCACAAACCTCCTCGTCATCCAACTAACGAGAAAGTTTCTCACCCATGTAACAATAGAGCCACCTGCTTGCCAGGTGTGGATTTTCCCAACCTTGTCTCACCACGCGCTTGAATAATATAATTACACGCTCCTTGTGCCGTTCATAAAATTAAGTCACACGATGAGCACAGGTGACTTCAACGTCACGGGGATTAACTTCCACTGGACCGACGGCGTGTTCGGCTTGGCTGTGTCGCCCAAGCGCCCAGATGGCTCCAAGACGCTGTACTTCCACGCTTTGTCCGCCATCCGTGAATTCTCAGTGCCAACTTCCGTCTTGAAGAACGAGAGCCTCGCCTCGGCGGAAAATTATTACTTGTTCAGGATGGAGGGCGAGAAGGGACCCCTCACCCAAGGCACCTCCTCGGCCATCGATTTGGAAACCGGCATCGTTTATTTCTCGCAGACCAACCGCCATGGCATAGCTTGCTGGGACACAAATGTACCCCTCACCCCAAGCACCTTTCGTAAGTTTATGTTTACGTGACCTCATTGTCATCCACATTTTGTTTACAATACAATTTTCTGATTTTTTTATAAATACAACGAATCTGTGAACAATTAGTACAACGTTATACAAAGGTAACTTTCGCTTTCAGATTTAATAACTCAAGATGAAGAGAAACTGGCCTTTCCAAACGACATAACGATCGATCCTGCGGGTAAAAAATTGTACACTCTGATGAGCAACGTGCCGAAACTGATGTACGCTCGTTTGGACGAAAACAACAAATACTACGTATATTATCAGTCACTGGACACGGTGGCTCACCATTGCAAGGTTTAGAGGAAATTATGTGAATCCGACAAGTGTGACGTGCGTACTTTGTAAATTCATTTTTTTTTTTTTTTTTTTTTTTGTAAAGTGCATAACAACAGTGGTCAATCAGAGTTTGAAAAACCACAAAATCGATGTGTAAAATTTACGACAGGATAGTCCACGTTATGTATATCCTCGTGCAATATTACAAGTATTAAAAACCATACACTTCGATAGAGTTCGATAAAAGGTTACTTTTCAAATGCTAATAAACACCGTTACAAAGTGTTTAGTAAACATGAAGAAACTTGCATTTGCTGTGTATCTGACAATACGTTGTTCAAAGTTATCTTCTTAAAACTGTTGAGTTTATCTAAAAACATAGCAAACCTTTATAGTTACGATTTATTACTTTGTTTGAATACTACAAGTCAGTGAGTTTTTAAAAAAGCATGTGTCTCAAATAAAATTAACCTGTTCTGAAACAATGTTCATTTTTAAGTCCACCATGGTATAAAATTTCAAGGCCTTATATTGTTTTAAGAGTGAAAAGTTGAACCACGTACAAATACATCGTCTATTTGACTAAAAATTTTAACATAAGATTTCCTAGCTTGTTCACTATCGAGATCTTAAGAAAAAACTCTACTTTTTTATTTTAATGTTGAGAATGAACCTTTTGCACGCGTGTGTTTCGTACAAAACTGTATATCTCAATAGAGAATAACTTTTATCTCGATTTTATCGTAGGAAGTCAAAACGTTTTTTATTTTAAATACTCGCATTTTAAATAATTAATAAAAAGGCACACCAGATGCAACAAAACGCCTATCGTGGCTAAACTCCATCGGCAGCCATAATTTACACGCGCCAGTCCCTTGAGAGACGCACGTAAACGCTCGGTAATTGCTGTACACGAGAGAAGAGCCTCCGCCATACGCAGCCTCCTACTTGACTCCACATATAGGCACGCGTGCATTAAAACTTCCTCAGCTGAAGAGACATCGACGGGTACGTGCACGATGACGAGGAGACGAAAAACAAGGACAATAAGAGCTAGGAGAAAGAAAGCGGCGTTTAATGGCCTCAAGGCGCATCGCACGCGCTAACAATGGCAAATCTTTTCCGAACAACGACGACGGCACTCGAAAAAATTTCGAGCCCACGCGTGCCTCCACCCAACCATTGCCATCTTCCCCCTCTATACGATGGTAAATACACAGCAGCAGCAGCAGCAGCACGTCTCCTGTTGTACGTACATGTATATTTTTCTTCTCCCTACTCCCTATGGCGAAATGACGCGGAAGCCGATCGCAAGCAAGAGACAATTAGCCGAATGAAAATGTAACACGAGACTGCACGTGACTTTCGTCAAGCTTCCGCACACGATGGAATAAAGCACGAGGCCCCGCTTCTTCTCCGCTCCCTACTCTCCGGTCGATTGTCACTTTGTCAACGCGTCAAGGGCCTCGCGTTTTTCGAGTGCCCTCCTCGAGAGGAGGCGTCGCAGAAAAGTTCCGTCCCCGAATCTCCGGCTCCGTTACACTTTGGGTCGTGGTGGCGGCTTTTAATTGCCTTTCGCGTGGGCTTCGCCGTTTTTGACCCTTAAAAAAAAATCTCCTCGCACAAAGAACGGCCCTGTGTGTTAAACGTACGCTCGGGACTTCCTCTTTATTCCTCGGCAGTGCTGCTGAGTGTGTGTGTTTTGCGCTCTGTCTTCTTTTTTTTTTTTTTTTTTTTCTTTCTTTCTATTCTTCTTCGCTGTGGTAACCGCGTGTGCGACGCACTTCTGTATTAAAGCGTTTCAAGTGCGCCCCGTGAGTCTTTACGCGTCGAGTGTTATACACGTCTCGGTGAAAAATGAATTTCGAATTTTACTCTCGTGTGTGTCGCTGCTTTGTGCGATGTCGGGCTTCTCTTCTTTGTCGGCCTGTCACTCGACACGTGAACGAAAAACACATTTGATTTTGCTTTTGTCGTTGGAGAAGTTGAGTTCACACACAGGTGGAAAAAATATAAGGCCACGAATTATGCAATCGGTCAATGGCTTTGACAAAGTAAAGATTGTTTGAATGGGAAAGATGATTTTTTTTTGTTATTTAAAACACGTACCTAATTCAAAACCATATATTACATAACGCAATTAATTCTTTACATTATTTCTCAACGCAATATACTTTCAATTGACAAACAGTTTTAACACTACAACACAAATTTTTATTTGTTGATGCACATTCTTTGTGTATAAACTTTATATGTATCGGATATTATTTTCCCTGAAAAAAAATTGTACTTCGTAGACAGTAGTGGAATTTCGATAATGTTTTACTGCAAAATGTGATGGATGTTTTTAAGATGCTTTTATGGATTTTATAGATTAAGAGTATATAAAAAGTATACGATAAAAGACGACAATTGAGCTTTTAGATAGTACTTGATGAAAAAAATAAAAGTTTGATATATATTTCAATTACAGTTTATCCTGTTTCTACGAAAGGACCATCTACTACAATTGCTCCATTAATACGCAGTCACGCACGTATTATTAAATAACTCGGATGGTGTTGGTGAAAATCAGCGTGAAAATTGACAGCAGCAGCGTCGACATGCCGACATTTAAGGTCTCATTACTCGTGAGCCCAAGCTTACTCGTCAACGCCCCGTACAACTTCCGAAGAAGTACAGATGGTCAAAATTGGATGTAGCTCAGTTCGTTTCGTTTCCAATCGATGTCACTCTCAGACCGGCACGGTCGGGGAGCATAGTGTGGGAATTTCTTTTTTAATTGCTCGTTCCACGCACGTCTCCCGGATAATTGCGGCAAAAACCCAGGGAAGGGAAAAATCTTGAAATGTGTTCATACGTACACACAGTCCCTCTCTATTTCTGGCTCCCGGAAAATGTTATTAATTTTTTGCCTGTAAATCATCGCGCCTCGGTGAAGCACTCTTTTCCGCACTTAAGTGTCTCGAGCTGTCAACGCACGAGGTAATTTATTGCCTTGGAATTGAAAAGCTCGTTCGGTTCACAAGAGTCCAAATGGACGCAAAAAATAAAACGAGTAAACACCTCCTAAATAATTCGACAAAAGCATACATTCTTGGGCTCGGAACGAAAAAAACGCACAACCATAAGTTACTCTAGATAATGAAAAAAAAAAAAAAAAAAAAAACACAAGTGTCCATTATACGCAAAGTTAAAAAGCCGAAACGACCGACCGCAAACTGTAAAACCGGCCGCAAATCGCTTCTCTCGCCCGCCCCCCTCGTATGTATACACATTCGCCGTCCTCGAAACTCTATGCGGGAGGCCGAGTGAAAAAAAGGTCCTTGTCGCAATATAATTCACTCTTCTCCCGTTCCTCTTTTTTTTCCTTCACCCCACACACCCACGGTAGATCTTCTCCCCCCCCCCGGTTATACACCCCCCTCGTTCACATTCTCTCTCTTCCTTCTTCCTGTACTATCGGACTCTGTCGAAAAAAGCGCTTTGCGAGAGAGCGAACACACACTCGTACCTACACATACACATGCAAACGCTTCATCCGGGTGCAAGTACCTAGCCTGTAGAGCTTTTTTTTTTTCATCCCCATACAGCGCGCAACATGCAAAATGTATGCGGCTATCAGTGCACTCGCCTCCAAAGAAAGAGAAAAATGCGCCCGACACATGGCGAGTGTATAACATGTACTGCATAGTGTGTATTACGCGGATTATCCGTGCAACGCTTCACTCGATCAATGGACTAATTACTTGCGGGGGTCGTGCGTACACGGGTATACCCTCGAGTCTATATAATACGCACTCCTTTTTTCTTCACTCGCAGCTCTGCGTGTACCTACAGCAGTTAAGCTCCCCCTTGGAGGCCCTGAGTCATCGAGGCACTCGAAAGAGAGCTCCCGAGTTCGTTTAACGGAACATCTGTTATTTCCCACTTTTCTCCCGCTATCGCTGCAGCAGCTCTGGTTCTTTTTTTTTTCTTTTCCATTCCCAAGAAAGAGAAGGGCCTGGAGGAGATACGATGCTTGAGGAAAAAACTGCAGCCCTGCTTTTTCTTGGAGATATTTTGCAAGAGTTGTGTATATGCTACCAGGGCGCGATTTTCCGATCACCGAACGCGGCGAAACGGTCATCCTTTACCCACTTTTTCTCTGAATCCCGTTTGGCCTCTCCTCTCCGTCCCTCGACGATCGCTTCTTTTTTGGTCAGGTGGACATGCCTGATGTCCAAGGAGGGAAAAATAACTACCTATTTACATCCGGGACAGAGAAACAGCTAGTTAAGATATGGCTAGTAAAAGCAGCTGATTAAGATTGGAGTTGAAGAAACAGCTGATCCAGATATGAGACGAAGAAGCAGCTGGTTTAGGTTTGGAGTAAGGAAATAGTTAACCCAGGGTGGGTTGTAAAAAATGGACATTTAAATTTGACGTGAAAAAATATAGTAAAATCAATGAAATTTGTTTTATTGATGGAGAAACATTGAATCCGGATTGGGGTGAAAGTAATAGCAACCTCAGATTAGGGTTGGAGGTATAGAGAATTTCGATCGGGGATGAAGAAACAGTGAATCTAGTTTGGGGTTGAAAAAATAGAAATTTCAGATATCAAATTTAGATTAGGGATAAAGAAACAGCCAATTCAGATTAGTATTAGTCAATAGTCAATTTGGATTAGTGATGAAGAAACAGTAAATCCAAGTTGGGGTTGAAGAAGCAGCCACCTCAGATTGGGATTAGAAAAGTATCTAATTGGGATAAAGGGATGACTAATTAAGATTGGGGATGAAGAAACAGCTTATACAGAATAGGTTGATAAAACAACTGAATCAAATTTGCGTCATTAAAAAATTCAGATTAGGAATAAATGAGCAGCTAATGCAGTTTGAAAATTAAGCAAAAATCAAATCAAATCCGAGAGGAAAAAATATCCAATCAAGACTTATAGGATAACGAAACATCCGAATTAAAGTTGGATTGAAGAAACAGCTAATACAGGGTGAATGGAAAAAACAACTGAATCAGATTCGCGTAGAAAAAATAGCTAAGATGGAGAACGATGAAATAGCGAATGTGAACTAGGGTTGAAAGAATAGCGAATCCAGTTCAGTTAATTTATATTTGGGATGAAGAAACAGATCTGATGATCTCAGTTTATGATGAAGAAACAGCTTACTCAGATTCGGAGTGAAGAATCAAACAACTCGGAGAGATTTTGGCAGATGGCAGGCATTATT